ATTGGGTGAGGGGAGGAAATAAAATCATCACAGAATTACAGATAAATGAGAAATGATACAAGATCAAATATACATCGTAAAAAACCGACTGCAGGACACAAAGGAAAGAAATAAGGAACATAACAAAAATGAAATGGAAAGAAAGAGTTAATTGAGATTAAAGAGAAATTATATTTATAGAAAATGGAAAATGGAGATCCAACATAAGAATAATTGATGTCTCCAAAGACGAAAACCAAGAGTGGATTAAAACAAATACTTCAAAATGTAGTTAAATCATTTTTAAAAACAATTTAAGAATTTTTATATTTTAAAAAATTTAACTTTGACCTAAATATTGAAAGGGTTGCCTTATGCTAGGAAGCACTGACTGAGAATCCTCTGACACCCAGACCTGTCCTAATGAAGTCACTGAACTTCAAAGAAAAATTAAGAAAACTTTGGGCCTCCAGGCAAAATGATCAAGTCTTTTATGGGATGGAAAATCAAGCTGGCCTCAGACTTTCTTACTGCAATATCCAATGCCAGGAGACAATAGAGCAACAGATAGTGTATTGAGCCAATGTCATTCAGCTGTAAAGAACACTTAAAAAAAAAAGGAGTTTTTGAACATTCTAGAAATCTGGCAATATAGATCTCATAAGTAACTCTTGAAAAAACTACTGAAGAAGAATTCGGCCTACTAACCAAGAAATGCTCAGGTACGCTTTGGAAAAATCACTAATTGTGAGCACTGATACTAGAATCTTCATAGACCTAAGATACAATTAAAAATGGGAATTGGAGTTACATAAAGAAATGTGTTACTTGCTGTAACAAGGTAGAAATAATACAAAAATATTGAGAGGAGAAAAGGATGGAGGAAGTGGTGGTAGGCTTTTTTTCCTTTTTATAGTATCTGTACATTTAATCTATTATAAAAGGAATATAATTTAAGACAGTTCAAATATTAGCAATAGAAATGTAAGCATTTTTAACAGCACTAAGTGAAACACTAAAAATATTCTAAAATTAAGCAGTGGAGGAAAGAAAAGCACTGATTTATTTAAGCACTTAAATCTGCCTTGAACTCCTGCAGAAAGAAGAAATAATAAAACCATAATTTTTATGTCTTACACCTTTTTGGAATGCTTTCCTCCCACATCTTCACATGATGGCTATTTCTTTTATCATTTAGGTCTCATATCAAATGTTACTCTCAGGTAGGTCTCCTGTCTACTCATTCTAATAAAGCAGTTCTACCGCCACCCTAGTCACTATCAGTACCACACTTATACCCTTGCTTTAAAGGGCCTTCTCTCTGCCCACCTGGGATCTGGCACCAGCTGGGGTTGTAGTGCCATATGGATGGGATGCACCAATCAGGACCTGCATAGATCCTAGGCCCATCAATACATCAGAGCATTTTCCAAGGCCTATTTGCCACACATGATCAACCAGATGCCCCAAACATTCCCAGACTTGTGCCTATGAGGTTATCCAATAATACCATATCCAGCCCTGATTTCAGGAGGGCAGCTTGGCCAGATCATGCCAGCTGACTGGCACAATGCTTTGTCATGGGATCATATGAGACTGGGTAGCTAGAATGGTGTTGCCATGTTGATTTGGAGTGACAAACTGTTTATAAAGACAGAGGTCCCACGTATCTTGGGAGAACACTGCTCCTTCATAGCACTTAAGCAATCGGAATGTACACTGTTAGTTTTATTGATGTGTCTTCTGAGTGATGCTCCTCCACTAGTTAAAGTACTAAGCTCTGTGAAAAGAGTGACCTTAGCTATCTTGTTCACAATTGGATGTTTAATGCCAAAACAGGGATTCAGTAAATACCTGCTGAGCAGATGAATGAATGATTGCATGAATTGGTATATTTAAGTACAGATCTCTTTCCTTCCTAGAATTCAGGCTCTCAAGACAAAGGATTCTTATACTAGCACAGTGCATGCCATGTGACAAGGCATGAAATCAGTATTCGAATGCAGAAGTAAACTAATAAATAAACAGATGAGTGAATGAATGAATGAATGAATGAACATATATCATCTAGACTTGAGGTTCTTATCCTTGTCTTCAGGATTCTAATGTGAAGATAAGGGCCTTTGGTTCTTAAAAGTTCTCGTAATCTCCAGAACCAATTAAACCAAAACCTCTGGGGATACGGCTGGGCATGAGTATATTTCAAACTCTCTAGACAGTTCTGGTGTACAACCATAGTTGAGAGTAGGGTGACTGGCTGTTCAAGTTTGTGCAGGACTAATTCTCCCAGGATGCAGAAATTTTAGTGTTAACACTGAATGTATATGGCAAACCAGAATGGCTGGTCACCCTAGTTGAGAATCCACTGATCCAGACTTCACCCAGGACTGATCTTGAGGGATGTATTTTCAATTCTTGAGAAGTCAAGACTCATGGGCTTCATGCTTGCCTCTGACACTTACCCAATTATGCTCCACTGGCTCATGTTGACCTCACTGACTGCTTCCTGCTATCTGTTCTTGTTCAGATTTGAGCTGCTATTATGGACTTGGGTGATGTACAAATTTGTGGCATACAAATGGCAAAGGGAATGATCAAACCATTATAGCAGGTCAACAGTGACCAGGAGAGCAGCTAAAGAAGCAAAGAAACATGAAGTGTTGCTTTCCCAAATGCAACCCAATGAGCCTTCACTTTTTTTCCTTCTAAATGATGACAGGACATTTTGACACATTCCTATTTATCATTTGTATATGCCAGTTACCCTGGTATGAGTTTGCAGTTTCTGTTGTTATCTGACATGACACTTTTCTTAATGGAAAAATCCCTGTGTAAATTGAATTAATATTTAACATTCTAAACACAATTAATTTATACTGATTCCATCGATGTGTAGACACCCAAATCAGAAATGTCCTTTGATCTGTGATGGGAACAGCACCACAGCTCTCTAGGGCCTTGGTATGCAGAGGGTGGCCCTAGGTCTGCAGGAGCAACGATTACCTGGGAGCTTGTTAGAAATGCAGAACCCCAGGCCCCACCTCCACTGAATCAAAATCCGGAGGTGGGGCCCAAGAATCTGTGTTTTGAAAAGCTCTCTAGGTTATCATTCTTATGCATGCTCAAATTTGAACATTTTGCTCATCTAATTCTTCATCTCAGTATCTCAGAGCCCAGAGAAAAGAGGCAAGAGTAAGCAGGGGAAGGAAGCAGATAGCACAGTGGTCCCCAGACTCTGCTGCACAGAAAACACCTGGAGATCTTTTAGACGGTCAGAGCCTGGCAGTGTGATTTAATCGGTCTGGGGTGCAGCCCGGGCAGAGGGATGTTTAAAAGCTTCCCAGCTGCCTCCACTGTGCAGCAGAATTCGGAAATCACTGATAACAGCTTCATCATCAGCAACCCTATCCCCAGGGTATTGCTGCGGCCTCCCACTGCCGAAGAATCCAAAGGAATGGGCAGTGCCAGCACTGCTAGTCCTCCTTCCTTCACGAACATCCGAATCAGCGGTGATGGAATGAAGGCCAGAGTCCCTGAGTCTGGATCTCACCTCTGGCACGAGGAACGCCTGTTCTGTCTGTCCTCTGTCAGTAGCTGTTTGATCTTTTCTCTCTCTGGGTCTCAGTGTCTTCATCTGTCAGATATAATAGACCCAATTCCCGGATTCTTCGGGACATCACATAGGATAACATGTGACAGCGCCTAATACCTTGCCTACTGCATGTTAGCCATTCAGAAAGTCTGAGTCAGGGAAGAGTGTCATCTCTGTCCTGCTTCTCCGCCGGTGGGACGTCCAGCAGCGGGAAGTCAGTTGGGCAAGGATTTAGGGGTGTCTCTTGCTCAGCGCTCCAAGGGTGTTGATGAATTGCAAAAGCCCTGTTCACTTGTAAATTTATTATATGATCTCATTTGACTCTCACATCTCAGCCAGTAAGCAGGGGGATGCTTATTGTCCCCATTTCACAGACAATAAAAGTGTCTTAAAGGCGACCAGTGTCACACGGCTGCAAAATGGCCGGCTCAGGTCCCTGGCTGTAGCCCAGGGTTCTCTCCACCTACCCCTCAGCCCACATCCAGCTGCTTGGCCGACTGCATCTGTGAGCAGGACACTGATCTAGACCAGCTCTGTCCCAGTAGAATTTTCTGTGATGATAGAAATGTCCTGTATCTGTACTCTCCAGTTCAAAGACCACCAGCCACATGAGGCTTGGAGACTTGAAATGTGGCTATTGGAAATGAGGGATTGAAGTTTTAACTCTATTAATAGTTTTAATTAATTTAGATGTAAAAAGCCACATGGGGACAGTGCAACAGAGTCAGGAGAGTAATGAGAAACTGAAAATATATTCCAGTGGTTTCTACCCACAGATCCAAGCTAAACCCCTTTTTTGGCTTTTCCTTAAAAGATCTTAACCCATTTTCAGTAGCGCAGCCAAGCCGGCCCACTAGCTGATGAGGGCACCATCACCATGAAATACACAATTCGAATGATGCCTTAAAGCCAGTGATTGGCCAGCAGAGACAAAAGATGTTGCAGAGCAGCGCTTTTCAGATTTGAACATGCACAGGAATCCTCTGGGATATCGATGAAGCACAGAATCTCCTGTAGGAGGTGTCGAGGGGGCCTGAGGCTCTGCGTTTCCGCAAGCACTCCACGGGCCCTGAGCGAGCAGGGTTACCGGGCGGTGGTCCCCAACAGGCTGCTCTGTCTCCCGTCCCCCAGCTGCACTTGGCGATGTCCAGAGACACTCCTGGTTGTCACTTGGATGGGGGCGCTGTTGGCACCTACCGGGTTGGGTTCAGGAATGCTGCTAAATATGCTACACAGGACAGCAGGGCCCTCAGTTATCTTGCACAAATGGCAGCAGTGCTAAGTTTGAGAAACTGTGCGGCACAGCTGAGTGTACGCTTCAGGGAGGAGGGTGGGGTCGATGGGAGAGCGATGGAGTAGGTCTTCTTGGTACGATAACTGATGATTCTTTTCTCTCTCCCACTCTCTTCTCCTACTTGTTTGCACACAGGAGCCAATGCCTCGGCCCCAGACCAGCTGAGCTTAGCTTTAGCCTGGAACAGAGTCGACATCGCTCGCAGCCAGATCTTTATTTATGGGCAACAGTGGCCGGTAGAGTATATGTTGTCACCCCCGACAAGCCCCCCGGCTGGCTTGGGCAAGGCCGTCTGCTTAAGACTTCTCTGAGAGCGGCTCGGAAAACCGCTGCCTTTTCTCTGGGATGGCAATACGCCCTAGTCTCATGCTTAAGAAAACACTGCCACCTGGTGGGAGATATGACAAAGCACAACTCCCAGTATTAAACATTTCCGTCTCGGCTGAGTGGCCTCTGGTAGCAATTTTCAGCTGCAAGTGATGCCATTTCTTTTACATGACCAAAAAGATACGTAAGACAAATTGTATTAATTAAAGGTCGGAAGGAGTGGAATTAGCAGTTTGTTTCTGCTGGTCTTTTAAGTTGCTGCTTCCAAGTGGTGGCACCTGTGCTAACGTTCAGCTGGGTTGCACCTCAGGATGTGGAATTAGCCAGCTTCCTCACGCAGGTGCCATCTGGTCCTGGTTCTCCCTAGTCCCAGAAAACAACCCAGAGGGAACCAAGCTTTATATAACTGTTCTCGGTTTGTTTCCCCCAGTTGGCTCTACCAAAAATAAAAACTTGGAAAACTGGCCATTGGGTAGTATATGTATGCATCCCCAGAAGGCCGCCAGCAGCCTGAAATTTTATTTCTGTGCCTGGAATTACTGACGGGCAACCCTGGTATACAGATCTTTTTTAATCTTGCCTTTTCCCCAGAAAGTGTCTGCCTAGGGTCTCAACCCTGTCAACACTGTCACCTGGTGCTGCTAGTGAATTGTTAGTGTGGAAAGATTTGCTAAGGAGTCTGGATGCTGGGAGGCTTTTGTGGAAGGAATTAAATAAGGACACAAATAGTTGCTGGGTCTCCATGTAGAAATAAACCTAGTGGAGATAGGTAATAACACTTAACTAAAAAAAAAAAAAAAAGGAACAGCTTACTTTTTGGTCTGTTCACTGGGGTCCCTCTTCTCAGCCAGCAGTCTGATTCAGAGCTAAGAAAGGAAAATGGAGACAGCAAAGTACCCACTTTGGCACTTCACTGGCATGGCAGAAGTTTGGTCAGAGAACTGGGAGAGGAAAAGCCTTGTAAACCTTTGCACCTTCTCAGGATTCAGAAGAGCAAAGAGAGTCAAGGAAGAAATAGCTTTTAGAACTAAAAACCCTTGAATTCTATTTACAAAGACAGGCCCCAAAACACAAAAGAGACCGAGGCTGCCCCCAGAGTGGAGTGGCAACAGTCTTCCCAGCGTGCTCTTTGAGGTGCTGAAGGTTTACCAGATGTCAACTGCATCTATTTCTAAACTGTCCAGGTGACTGCCGTAGTGCTGCCTCCCTGAGCCTGGAGCACACTAACTCAGTGACTTGATTTGCAGGTGGGTTCTCTGGAGCAAGCCATGTTGGATGCCTTAGTTCTGGACAGAGTGGATTTTGTGAAATTACTCATAGAGAATGGAGTAAGCATGCACCGTTTTCTCACCATCTCCAGACTAGAGGAATTGTACAATACGGTAGGACCAAGCTAAGCACTTTTTATTTTCTCTATGTTTTTTTGTTTTATGTTCTCCGCCCCACCCCACCCCCAACCACCATATGCCTGTAAGTCTCCTCCCTCCTCTCCAAATGCATGGATCATTTTCACAAATGTCCCCTTAGACCTGTGTAGATAACAAACACCAAGTCACCAAAATTCCACTTGTTTTAATTGCTCTGTTGTAAGCATCTAAGGCAGAAAGTTATGGGATTGCCAAAAGCTAACTTTCTCAGATTCTTACGCAAAACCACAAGGCTCTGGAAATTAGAACATAGTTTATTCTGTAAGCCCAGAGGGGGTTTGAAGCAATCAACAGAGGGGGACTGATTTAACTCCAGCATCAAAGGAAACTGATCAGCTATCCTGTACCATCTTGCTATCCTCAGAGCTATGTTCATCCTTTTTCATTTTATTGCAATAAAATGTAAAAGAACTCCTTTTCGAAGTTATAAAAAAAAAATTGGGGGGATAATGATTGGTTAATTCATGCACTAGGGATCCCCCAGAGCAATCATAAGAAAAACTATTCATGAAGTGTTTGACAGTATTCAGCAAGTTAAGTATATTGGCTCTGAGTGGTAATCACTAAAATCCAATGAAGTTTAAAAAGTAGGTACAGTTTTCCCCCACTCTGTAGATGAGAAAACTGAAGTCAAGAAGTGAATTGGTTTATTCCAGGTCACCAAACTCCTAAGTAAAGAAAATAGCCAGTAGTGAAACAAAGAAAGCTGCTGTCTCAGAGATTAGCCTTCCCCTCACTTGTCACACTATTTCTTTGTCCCACCACCCACCACACTAATGAGATGAAGCTTAAGGACCTGTGCCCAACCAGTGATAGGTTACCCCATGCCACCCTGGCTGTATCTCATTTCTCACTGCTGGAAGTGCTGAAAAACAGGTTAGCAGAGGAGCTCCAGTTTTCTGTTTTCTCTGCAGATTTTTCTTGGTTCAGCATAGTGAGACTTTGAGTAACAATAATGGACCAAAATGGTGGAGTGATGCCCCACCAGCTTTCATCCCCACAAAGAGATCAGCAATTAGCTATAGAAGAAACTGATAAATTCCTAGAAACATACAACCTACGAAGTATGAATCGTGAAGAAACAGAAAATTCCAACAGACCAATAACAAATAAGGAGATTGAATTGGTAATCAAAAATCTCCCCAAAAAGAAAATCCCAGGACCAGGTGGCTTTGCAGGTGAATCCTACCTAACATTTAAAGAATTAACCCAATACTTTTCCAACTCTTCAAAATAATAGAAGAGGGGGGAATACTTCCAAATTTATTTTAGGAAACAAGCATTATCCTGTCAAAGCTAGATAAGGATAAATTTAACCAAATAGTTAAGAATAAATTTAACCAAAGAAATGAAAGGTATATATTTATATACCAAAAACTGTAAGACACTGATGGCAGAAATTGAAGAAGATACAAATAAATAGAAAGGTGTCCTGTGTTCCTGGGTTAGAAGTGTTAATGCTGTTAAAATGTCTGTACCACCCAAAGCTCTCTGCAGACTCAATGCAATCCTTTCAATATGTAATAGCTTTTTTCACAGAAATAGAAAAAACCATCCTCAAATTTGCATGGAACCATGAAAGACCCAGAATAGCCAAAGCAATCTTGAGAAAGAAGAACAAAAGTGAAAGCATCACCCTTGATTTCAAACTGTCTCACAAAGCTAGAGTGATCAAGACAGTATGGCGCTGGCATAAAAACAGCCACATAGACCAAGGGAACAGAATGCAGAGTCCAATAATAAACTCATGCACATACAGTCGACTAATATTTGACAAGGAAGTCTGATATAAAAAATAGAGTGGAGGTTCCTCAAATAATCTGAGACTGAGAGGTGGGGGAAAAGTAGAGATGTTAGCCAAAGGGTACAAACTTTCAGTTATGAGTTCCAGGGATCTCATGTGCAGCATGGTGACTATAGATAAAGCTACTGTACTGTATTCTTGAAAATGGCTTTGAGGTTAGAGCTCTAATGTTCTCTTCATAACAACCACAAAATGAAATCAAGGATGTGTTTCCTAGCCTACTTGTAGTAAGCATTTCACAGTATATAAAAGTATCAAGTCATTATCTTGTGCACCTTAAACTTATACAAAGTTATATGTCAGTTATAGCTCAAAAAAAGAATAGGGTTTTCAATAAAATAAAACAGATTTTAACAACTTGCATACCAGAAAATCAAGGATCTAGAGTGGCTATTCCAATAATTGGAAAGAAATAAGCAGAAAAGTTCCACATTGAGAAAGGCCAGTGGAGTTCGTCACTCTGTGGGGAAGCAACGGTGAACGGCCTCAGAAATCACAATAGCTAACATTTACTGAGCTAGTGCTGCTTTCATAGCTTCATAAACATTCAATCTTCCCAACAACCCTGCCAGTTAGGTGGAATTAATTTCCTCATTTTAGAGATGGTAAGACTGAGTCACAGTTAAGTAGCTTGTGCCCATGATCACAGCTGGTCAGCAGATCAGATCTGGAGCCAGGCATTCTGACTGCAGAGTCTACATGTTCAATCCCTACACAGCTCTGCATCCCTCAGTGGAAAAAGGGGTTCTCATGAGTATGTTCACATGAATGGGTAGGGAGTTGAAGTGGTACACAGGGATTGTCCCAATAGTAGAATGTGTTCCAACAGCGCTTAAGGATTTACCATCCCTGCTCGATGTGCTCCAGGAAGTTCACCAGATTTAGCAAAGAACAAATACAGGAGGCTCAGTTAAATTTGAATTTCAGATAAACAACACATGATTTTTAGTATAAGGCTGCTTCAAAAACTGCATGGGACATACTTATAGTATGAATTATTCATTGTCTGTCTGGAATTCAATTTAACTGGGCATCCTGTATTTTATCTAGAATTTCTACTTTTAAAAGACAACAGGATGGCAAGTCATTTCACTTTGGCTTCTCTTTTTCTTCAAACAGCCTGTGGCTTTTTCTTTAGACCAAACATTAGCAAACTACCACCCAAGGGCCAAGTCCAGCCCTCTTTCTGTTTTTGTATGGCTTGCAAGAGTGGCTTTTTACGTTTCTTAATGTTTAAAAAGTCAAAAGAAGAATAATGTTTTTGACATATTAAGATTATCTGAAACTTGACTCTCTTTTAGTGTCCATAAATAAAGTTTTATTGAAACATAGGCAAGCTCATTTATTTACATTTTGCCTCTGGCTGCTTTTTTGCACAATGGCAGAGTTGAGCAGGTGTGATGAAGACCTTATAGCCCACAAAGTCTAAAATATTGACTCTCTGGCCATTTACAGAAAAAGTGCCTCAATCCTGCTCTAGACAATTTCCCATTCACTCTGGGTAATAAACTGTAACTGGCAATGTGCCAGAGCGAATTTCCAGTGGGGTAAATTGGCCCCTTTGTCTCCTGTGGCAAAACTAGTCCCTTCAATGCTGTTTTGGCCCAGCTGTTAGCAGAGTTGATTGCTTCCTTTATAGAGTTTGAACCTGGAACCTCAGATGCTTTTCCTTCAGAAACCACAATCCAAAAATCTGCCAATGTATTTGTTTAGAAAAGACAGGTGCAACTGAGCAACTAGAACAAGGTCCATCTTGGCAAATCACCCCTCCACCGGCCAGAATCCTTTCCAGACCCTTCTTGCCTTACCGATGAGAGCCCCTGACCAGCAAAACCATTTGATTCTTCTTTATTGTTTTCAGAGACATGGGCCCTCAAACACATTGTACCACTTGGTCAGGGATGTCAAAAAGGTAAGAACCCTCCCGGCCGCAGGTCGGAGGCTGGGCGTTGACTGCTTCCTGTGTTTAGAAAGCGCTTGTGTTTTGCATGAGCTGCCAGAGTATTTCTGTACCTGCCAAGCCCCTCATTTCAGGGCACAGTGTGTGTATATGTCTTTTAACTCTGACGTCTCTGCTTACAATGCAGCTGCGGTTTTATCTCCAGGCTCTGTGGTTTTAGATGCTTTCACTGGAGACAGTGTTTTTGGATAGTGGAACTCTAGGCTTTCCTCCATGCTATGTGGATTTATGCCATTGCCTGTACTGTTCATATGCCTTTTACTGTTTGGGGAACTAGTTTCCATGTTGTCCGACTGACATAAGGGGCAGCCTCATTTGCTAGCTTCCTGGCGCAATGCATCATGGTTGCTTCTGACATTCAGAGCAGAAAACGCGCAGCTAAAAAAATCCCAGAGAAACAGAGGCTAAAACACATAAAGGCATTCCTTCTTCCAACACTTTACTTTTTCCAGAATGTACTTAATCCCAGAGAAACAGAGGCTAAAACACATAAAGGCATTCCTTCTTCCAACACTTTACTTTTTCCAGAATGTACTTATTTACTAGCTGGACCTTTGCTAGTAATGAAAAATACCAAATGAGAGGGGAAAGCCAGTAGGTTTGAGTCAAGTAGAATTATTCTCATTTCACAAAAGAGGCTGAAATGCAAGGAGATGAGAACTCAGTATTTTACTAAGTGGTTGGTGACAACCTGGGATTCGACCTCAGATTCTTTGATAGTAGTAATAAAATAGTAATGCCTACGCTGCACTGTTGAGTAGGTATGTGACTAATCTAAGCTTTCTATGTGCCTGAACTCGTTTCCTCTTCACAACAATTCTATTAAGTAGAATTATTATTTCATTATTATTACATTATTAGTGTATAGTCTTATTCCCATTTAGAGTTGAGAAGAGTGAGGTACAGGGAGGTAAAGATTACGTGTAATCTTAACCACAGGCCTGTTCATTTGCCCCATACAGTCTCTTTCAGAGGTAGTTTCAGTTGTGAACACTTGATAGCTTCCCAGGAAGAGGTGTTTTAACTCCAAAGATAAACAGATGGTGGCACTTCCCCCACCCGGTACACATGTGCGCACATTCACATGCACACCCGTTCACATGTATACCTACCCACCAGTTTATAACAGTTATATGTACAAAGGATATATGTAGAAAAAGCTACAAAGTAACATCAAAAATAAAGTGTCATTCCTTCATCTCATAGGAAGTCATCAAATGGAACTGACCCTTAGGTGTTTCATAGCCACTTTTAAATTTTTCCTTCAAAAGGCCAAGCAAAGGCCCTGGGGCTGCTTAGAATGTACCTATTAACCAGCTGGACCTTTGCTAGTAATGAGTAAAGGGTACACAAAACCCCTCCTGGCCTTGGGAACTTTCCTCCCATCTCCACACAACCTTGCTATTAGATTTTTCATCTGTGTGAGTGACGCCTGTGGATCTTTCAAAGTAAGAGAACAGACTGCGTAGTCTGTACATCTGACCCAACAACCATTTTACCAAGCTCACTTCTGTCCTTGGTCTGCCCCATTTCAAGCTGCAAGCATACCTGCCCTCAACAAACCCATTTCTCCTTCCCTCCCGCCTTCCAATTTTGTTTAATTTTTTCTAGCTTAAAATTATCTGGAAGCTAAACAGGCAGCAGTATCTTGGAAGATGAAGTGTGTGCATATAATGCGTGTTCTTTGCCAAGATAGTTGTTGCTCTTGCTCAGTAAAACATCTTTGATTTTTTCTAAAATAACAAATACAGATATTCCCCTCACCGTAAACTAATCTGTGTCTCTGAAAGAATTGTGAGGCTTTCTGAGGAGGTAGCTCTGGCTTTGTCCCTCAGTCCAGGCCATCAGCCAATCCCAGCCTTCAAGTAAAGTCACTCAACCACCTCCACCACCCAGCTTCTCAATATCTTGCCTGAGTGTCAAAGGAACTTTTGCAGTTAGATCTCACTGAGTAGAAATGACCAAAAGCCTTCCTATTAGGTTATCATCCTCATAGAACTCTGCTTTCAAATATCATTTTGTTTCCTGAAATCTCATCAGCTGCCTCTTACATTTGTTCATATCCCTTATTAGAAGGCATGTAGAGTATTTTTAAAGTATGGTTGTTGTTTTTTAAATAAACTTCTCAGCTAAAGATATGCCTCAAAAATAATGTAGGTTAACAAGAAAGAATAGGATGGTAAGAATTTGGAAGGAAAGAGTATTACTTAGGAGCAGTTTTATTTTTAAGTGTTATCCTAATACTGGAGCAAGAATAGTTATGTAAGAATTTATTTACTTACAAATGTAGTAACTGGAAGAAAATTATAGCAAATCACCCAGGACAGTACTAAACTGGTTTAGGAACAATTTAGCTTTTAACTTGGGGAAAAGAGGCTGCCAGTAAGATGGGGAGAAACAAAGTCTATGTTTCATTTCTTCTCTTGTGAAGAAATAGGAGGAAATGCAGACACCTCTAATTTCTGTGATAAAGGTGAGCAACTGGCTTTTGGGGAGAGGAAAGCAGCCAAAGGAGATGAGAGTCTCTACATTTTATGCCATGTGGATGAAGGGAGCTGGTAAGGAGGGCCTTTGTTTGTGTTTTCTTAAGAAGTGAATGAGAAGGATATTAATATTGTACATATCTTCCTCAGATGGTTCCAAAAGACTTCCAGCAATTTAGACCAATAAGATATGCAAAGTCTACAAAAACTAGGTTTTAAAATGCCAAGAAAATCTTGGGCAGTTTGAGCAATTTTCAAAATTAAGGAGGATAGTAATAATTAGTATGTGCTTTGTGCTTTATAACAACTATAGGACTTTATGTACAATTAATTGATCTATTGGTGACAAAAATTAAGTAAGTCGTAAACCCTGTTACAAAATGCTGTTCATATGTTATGAACAGTTTCGGACCTTAAACGTGGTGTTTGATAATATGTCTATAAAATTACATGTAAATTACTCTTGGGAATCCAGGGAATGCATTTAGGAATTATCAGTCCATGATAAATTAACAAGCATGACCTGTCCAGGTTCAACTATCCTTTGAAACCAAAGGAGCTGAATGGGAGAAATCCTCACAAGCTAGTTTTAAAATCTCAAATTATTTCTATCAAGGGAACAAGCTAGGAGCAGGGAGGTAGGGAGCTGCTATTCAGCATCAGTCAGAAATTTGAAATGATGTAAGCCGACCCAGTTCTACGAACTGTTTTCATGCATAAATCCATTGGATGCACCAATGCTGTCATTCTAAACCAGAGTGGCCAAGTCTGTCTGCTTTACCATGAACTCTAACTTGCCATTTTAGTAGCTGCCTGCTCACTTCGTGCCTCTGTATGTTTTAAAGTAGTAGTTTTTCTTTTTAAAACTAAATGTGCTGATAATACTTCAGATGACCTGCACTATTCCTCCCCACCAAAGGAGGGTGATACTTGAGTACCATATAGAAGTAGTGTTGGAATTATGATTGCTGAAAGTTCATTCATATGGGAATCTAGACTTGGAGCTTTGCAGAATGAAATAAAAAAAGCATTTCAGACATACTTTGGGTAAAGAAAGGACATTCATCATCCTATCTGCCAAACTCATACAAATTTGCAAAAGCATTCTTATTTTTTAAAAGATCGATTGCCCAGTCTGTTGCCATGCCAAATAGCAAAGTATGTCCTCCTCTTCCATAAACTTTCACCAGGATAGTCTTTTCCTTACTCTTCTTTGGTAAGCCCCACAACCAGCAATCATTTCACACCTTATATTCATCAGGAGGAAACAGTCTTCCTTTGAAGGCTTATGATGTTTACAAGAAAAATAAAAATTCCTAACCAGCTGAAATCTGATAGGGATATCAGGAGCTGACGTTGGAAGGACAGTGCATTTCAAAGAGCAGATCTAATAAATGAATTTAAACTATTCTTTGAATTAAAAGTCATCTCTAGGCAAGGGTTGAAATAAAACAGCTCCAATGTAGTAGCTGATAGCATGAAAAAAACGGTTTGTTGTCAAATTGTACCTACCCATAGACCAAACTTCTCTGATTCTCTGAGTCAAATTATTTGAATCGTGTGGCTTACCATGAAATGGGAAATAAGTGGTCAGGCTTTACCAGTTAATTACCAAAAAGGGGAAGCAGGGAGTAACAGAAACAGCAAACAGCGTTTTACTCCACTGTCATTGCTGACTTCCCCAGCAGAGGAAGACTCCTGCAGAAGGTTGTTGGACATTACCTGTGGTCTAGGCTGCTTTTTCCAGAAGAAGTGGATGTGACAAGCTCAGCCCCACCCCTGTCTGTCCCTTTACCATCCCTTGTCTCTGAGCCCCAAGCTCCACTAACAAAACTCCAGGGGATTCTGGAAATACATCAGCTCTGGCCGCTCTGGACTAGGGTCTTTGCACAATGGCCTGGCAGCATGGAAATAAGAGCAGCCTGCCAGGGAACGGTCAGACAATGGGGCCTTTAGAAATAGATAGGATCTTAGATGTTTCTGTGCCCAAACTGCCTGTTTTCAGAGTGTAAATGAGGTACAGAGAAAGGAAGTGATCTGTTCAGGGTAGCATAAGTCAGGGACAAAGAAACAGGACACCAGCCTGGTGTTTTTTCAACTGTCGGGTCGTATTGCTGGCTATTCTCTGCACAACTGTGACAGCTGAGGTTGCAGGTGGTCAAGGCCATCACCCAGCACCTCAGACATGCACCAATGCTCTTACCCCCTCAGAGTTCACCCAGGACACAGCCATCACAAGAGGCTTAAATTGTACCTGACTTTATTTACTGTATGAAATTCAGGTCTTTCCCAGAAGGCTTCCACTTTTCCTAGGAAAAAAAAATGTGCAAATGAACTTCCCTTAGTTTCTTTTCTCCCAAAAGCCTCTGAAAAGAAACAGATGCAGTCACATCTTGCAAGCTGAGTTCAAACACAGTATTTGGTAAAATAAGCTTTCCCTCTTCTGGATATCCCTTCAACGAGAGTATCTGATCTGTCCTTTTATCCAAATCCTCCAACCTGCTCTGTGTTCGTTTACTTCACCTTATTACACACGTAAAACGAACAGGCGAATAAATCCTGGTGAGGGATGCGCCTCACTGGACTGAGGTAGGTGAACATCGCCCCCTTGTGGTCAAACAGAATGCACGCCAGTTCCTTTCAGGCCTTCACTCAAAGCTGAGAACCCAGAGTGGTCACCAAATCCTTTCTCCTGCTTCAGACCAATAATCAAGCCTTGTAAGAGAAGTTTCCAGAAAAAAAAAAATATTCCAGCACCTACTTTGGTAGTATATAAACCTAACAACCCTTTATGAATAAATCATCTGCAAAAAATGTTGTACTTGCCCCTTTTAAGTTTTTTATTTTGAATTTTACTATTATCACTCTCTTGACAACCCCCAATCTTTACACACACTCAAAAGCATAAATATTGCTATTCAGTATTTCTCTAGGCAATATTGTTGTCTTGTTCTTAGAATTCAGACTGAGGCTCACACAGAGGTTTCTCCAAAGAAAATACAGAGGTGTGAGGCTCACTATGACCTGCCTTTTAATTTTAGAAAAGTCTTACAAGATTAAAAATAGGAACAAATTCATAGACTTGCTACAGTTGCTTTTCAATAGCCTCACAAAAATATCTTAGGGATTTTTCTGAAACCTGATACTTGAGCTTTATAGATCACAAAGGCTGCCTTAGGCTCAATCCCTTTTACTGGGAAGAAAACTAAGGCCTTCAGGCAAAGTGGCTGATTTGTGAGGGACAGACAGACGCCCAGGGTAGCTGACTCATAGCCTGTGTTCTTTACCTCCTGGAGCTTTTCTCCTCTTGAAATAACAGAGCCAGACCTACAGAAACTGCAGCCTTGTTAACCTGTCTGAAAATGATGGAGAATAGTGGTTGCATGAGTGATATTTTTTAAGCTAAGTTTAATGTTCATAGAAAGAGCAACACATGAAAAGTGACTGTCTTAAACTTCCTCTAAATTCTCTTTTCTATATTTTTGCCATGCTTTGCATCAAACAAGTCAGACAATTTGTCTTCTTGATAGTCTGAGGATAGCTTCACTCCGTGATTCAGTTGGACTGATGAGATAATCTTCAAACAAAGGAGATTCCGGAATTGTGAGACAGGTGGGGAGGAGGGCAGGGACCATTCTGGAGGGACAATTCAGCTAAAGAAATGGTTCTCAGACTGGGTTCCAAAGGGCCGATGTCAAAGATGGGAGGTGTTTACCCCTCCAAGTTCTTCTAAGTCAGGTGTGATGCCCCTTGCACAGTCCCATTTTGCTCAGTGGGCTTGAATTAGGTCCTCAAGCCTGCTTTGTGCCCCAAAGCAAAGGAGAGATAGACCCAATGGGGAGGACTAGAAACTAAGTGAGGGGCAGCAAGGAAGTGTTCAGAGCCGCAGTGGGAACTCTCTCTTCAGCCCGACTCCAGGGGGAGTAAGAGGCAGAGAGTACATATTTCAAATCAGATTTCTGCAGTGAACTGGGACTACCCCAACCAGGGCTGACTCAGACTGTGGCTAGTTAGTTCTGTTACTGAGAATATAATAATGAAAAACCCTAAACTGAGACTTTATCCCAACCAGGTCAAATTAGTTTTAGTGTTTTACACAATCATATTTTTGCCACAGAAACGATCTGGATGCCTGCAATACACCAGGTACTATAAAAGGAGCCAGAAACACAAAAATGAATAAAACAATTACAAGCATAAAGCTACAGATTTGATGGTAAGATAGAGTGGGCCTCCTGTAACCCTGAGTCCCCTGCAAATGGGGTCTGTTAACCACAGGAAAGCTGAGTGAGCACGACTGAAAACCTGCCCTTAGTTTAGCAAAACCACTTAGGCCAATTTCGTAATGACAACAATTATCTTTAAACACTCTGAATTTCTCGATTCTGCTGCATAATCCCACATGAACCTTATTTAATAGACCAGCAGCTGGACAAACTTTGGTGTGAATCCGAATCACCCAGAAACCTAATCAAGGGCCTAGAGGCCCATAAATTGAAGTAGGACAGAGTCCAGGCCTTGCCCTGCCACCACGTTCCCCAGGCAATTCTGAGACCACCAGAGTTGGAGAACCACCACTGTTGCCAGGAGCCACTTCTGTGAAGTGGCAGAAATGTCACACAGCATCCTGGGCAGGTCCTCCATTAAGAACAAAAGTAGAGTAAGCTTCATGCCTCTCAAAGGATATCTAAAGACAGGGTGCACCAGGCTTCCTGCACCGTGTGGTGCCCCTCCCGTTCCTGGCACAGAGCCTGCTCCTGCATCAAGGGACTAAGCCCCAGTTGGTCACTCTCACCCTTTGCAATTCACTGTGTCCTTGGAATTCCCCATAAGTGGAACTAATTCTTCCTTGGCCTAACAGGATTTTCCTTAGATACTACAGAGTGCCCTTTTGAAGTAGAAACCAGTAATGAGTAGAAAATAATGAAAAAAATTTTTTGGGTTTTGTATCCATATAAGCAGCAGCTAAAACTTACACCTTAACTCTAGGTCTTTAAGAACACTATTCTGTGTGAAAGAAAATATTTTTAAAAAACCTCCTTAATTCTGGGAAAATAAATATTTCAGTGATAAGATTTTTTCTCTTATTCCTCTCCCCTTTCTCTTTAAACACAAGAGATGCTAATAAATGACTTCATTCTGACATCCATCCTGTTCTCTTTTCATGAAAAAGGCGCCAAATTTTTTTCATTGCCAGGAGATTTTTTTATTATGGGAGATCTGAACTTTGAGCATGTCCAGCCTGGTGCGGGCCCTGGTAATAATAGTCATCTTCTGGAAGGAGTCTTCATTTAGGGGATGTGGAGAAACCAGCATTCAGCAGGGGGTAGTGACCCAGCTGGTTAGAGGCAGAGCAGCCAGGCGGCCAGGGGAGCACGTGGGGGGCCCAGTTCCTAGAGGCTGGGAGTGACAGCATTTGCCATGTCTAGCCTTGTGTTTCTTTCTGCTACACTGGTGTTTTTTTCTCCCCAGCTGAAGACTTGAATAAGTATTTTGATTTTCTGTTATTGCCGACGGTTACTGCATCTTCTTATTTAACTTATGTCTTCTTTCCAAGCGAGAATATCCAGGTTTCGGTTGGATCTATTTTAAGGTGAATTAATTAACCAGCATAATAATACATTCATATGTTTCTTTTTTAATTATTATTACTTTTTTAGTCTAAAATAGTTACAGAGCCCATGGCATAGAAACCCTAGTAAACCGCGCTATCTTTTGGATTTGTGTGTGTGTGTCGTTCTGCCCTCATAGGGGAACCTGCCCCCTGACTACAGAATCAGCCTGATCGACATCGGCCTGGTGATCGAGTACCTGATGGGAGGTGCTTATCGGTGCAACTACACGCGCAAGCGCTTCCGGACGCTCTACCACAACCTCTTCGGCCCCAAGAGGGTGAGGCTTGTGCACATTGTTCCCAAGAATGGGACAGATTTAGGATATAGCTTCATTGTCCCCAACGGGGAGCTCAGCTGAGAAGGCAGCTGCCCTCCCTCTCCTTCCCTCCACTAGCAAACCCGTTATAAGAAAACAAAAAACGAATATAGGATGTATTGGGTGATCCACTCCTTTCTTTTCAAATCAGAAGCTGGCACCCAGAGTGAGCCTTAGTGATCGGAGGGTAGTAATGAAATTCAAATCAAGCTCATTATCTGCCTCGGCAGTTTTCAAAGTGTTTGATCTTGGGGTCTATTTATACCTTTAAAAATTATTGAGACTCCCAAAAGGCTATTATTTTTGTGAGTTCTAAGAAGATATTGATCATGCTAGAGGTTAAAATTGAGACTTTAAAAAAATGTACGAATTCATTTTAAGATAAAGGTAGGAAGCCCATTACATGTAACATAAACAATATGTTTATGAAAAGTGTATTTTCAAGAGCAAAAATTCATGATAAGGGTAGCATTGTTTCACATTTTTGCAAATTCCTGTAATAACTGGTTTAACAGAAAGACAGGGGGATTCTTGTATCTACTGCACTCAGTCTGTTGTAAATGTTTTGGTTGATATATATGAAAAAAATCTGACCTCACACAATATGTGACAAATAGGACAGTATATTCAAAAAAGGAAGGAGTATTTTGCAGATAATTGTAGATATTCTTTTCTGATACTTCATCAAAACTCAAGTGGCAATTTCTTAAAGATTAGTTGCAACGTGAAATCTGAAGCCATGTTAATGAACTTTTTCTTACTCTGCTACATTAAAATCCACGGGTCTGTCTTCCACTTTGCATGGATCACGTGACATCATAAACGGGTCCCTGTAAAATTTTGGTTTGTTGAGTTACACAGATCTTCCGAATGTTGACACATTTCATCACATGATTTCAAAAACTCACATTCATTATATCACCTCAAATCTCATCAAAGAAGTCTTTAAGTACTAAAAAACTGTCAAAGCTACGGAGGTGGGGATACACATTTTCCAAAATTTAATCTTTTTCTAATTTTTGCTTAGAAAGTTTGAATTTTGTCATTAGCAACAAATACGGGCAGTTGTTTTCCTTAAAATGACACCCCCATATTATTTATTTCCAGGAAGTTCTGCCAGATATCAATTCTAAATAACCATAGTTTGTCTGCCAGTCATTCCTTCAAGGAGATAGTCCATGAAACAAAGGGGCCATAATCCATTCCAAACAATGGCATGTGTTTCCTCAAGAGAACCCCTTGTGGTTCAGCAGGTGGCACAAGCACTTTGAACATGCTTCCCATTTCATCCCTCAAGACAGTAAAAAGACATGTTTTACTATCAGAAGTAGAGGTAATAAAGTTAATAGTTTTTAGGCCTCATCAAGGATGTTCTTAAGTGAAACTGGTTTTGGGGTTTTGTTTTTTTAAACTTCCAGTGCAGAACAGAAGAATCTAATGACCACAGGTAAAGTGTGGTCCTGCCGCCTCCATTCTTGCTAAGGCACCCCAGTTTTTCTTACTGCCTTTGCATCATCAGTGCAAATGTTAACGCAGTGTCAAAACCAAGTAATAGTGTTATTACAAAAATAGCTTTGACTTCACAGACCCCCTAAATGGGTACACACAGTTCCTCAACCACATTCGAGAACCGCTCTAGCTGGTAGAGGGCACGATTTTTATTTCTGATAAAGTTTAACTTCTGATTCTGTAAGAATTTTGCGGTCCTAGACAAGAATGTTGAAAACACCAAAAACTATAACAGGGAAAAAAAACAAACAAATTTCAAAGCGGTGGTCATTTTAGAAGCTAAGAGAGAGAGAAAAGAAGAAAGTCAAGGTTCAAACTATTCCTCACTTGAATGGTCAAATACAATTCGGAGGAACTGTAAGTGCTCCACCCTTACTATTTACTCATATAACTTTTAAGATGGCCAGTCATTCTGTAATACTCAACATGTAGACTTGGGATTCCTGACTGCTGAGATGTGATTCTGTATCTCCCTTTGTTAAATATAAATCACGCTCTGGAATTTGCTGAGTTGCTTTCTCTGTCCTCCGTCTTGCGCTGTGCCCATTTTGCACATTCCTAGTGTGACCGATGCTGTGGCCCTGCAGCTGACACTTTCCATGCCATCGAGCACGTTTTGCTGCCATCAGCATCAGCGCCCCTGACCCTTTCATCTAGGCTGTCCTGGACCACAGCACAGAGAGGTGGCCAGCAGGAAGCATCTAAACACGTATTTCTGAATGATATCTCAAATCTCCAGATAATAGAGGTCTTTCAGTGGTTTAAGAAACATCACATGGTTTGACTGAATGTTACGTTGCTCACCCAAGTGCTTTATGTCATGGGTTGGCCAAACAGGGGGTGGTTCTGGGAAGATGGAAGAAATTTGGTTCACAAAAGAGATTGTAAACTTGCAGGCTCTACTCTTGAGCAATCTCTTTGTGTACCTCCAGTTTCCTAATTTTCTGTGATTCACCAAAATCACTAAATCCCAAATTCTCTTAGAATTTCTATAAGTAGCCTCCCCTTGCTGTGTCTTATTTAGTGAACTGAATAAATGCATTGTGATACCACAGAGTTGTTCCATTACCTATTTAAGATTTAGTAGGATTCTTTTCTTACATCTATAAAGAAAGATATAACTTTTGCATAACATTTTTTTTTTCAACAGCCCAAAGCCTTGAAACTACTGGGAATGGAGGTAAGTATCTGCTCAAATTATTAGTGCCAATTGTTTGTTCTCTGTATTATACATTTTAAATAAGTTTATAAGCTCATTTTCATGGGAAGACTTATTACATGATTCTAAATAAAATAAGAAAGTGAAATTTTTTCCAGTGTCAAAAGGGCAGGTCTCACTAGCTTTGAAAATTCCACCATGATTATGTTAGCATTGCAAACAAGAAAATAAATCCTATTTGAAATACTAACTTGAAAACCAAGGAAGCATATAAATTCCAGTAAGTGAAATCTATTCATTGGTGTTTACAAATGGCAACAAATCTAGAAGCTAGAAATCTTCACAAATGCATCTGAGAGGTTTGTAGAAACTCAAGATAGCTGATCTGTTTCTCATCTTTTACTCACGTGGTTATGATTGTATATGCAAATGCAAAAATAGGATGTCCTTGTCCTTTCAGGGAAAAGGGTGGTGCTACCCAGCATGTGGTACAAATAACCCTACCTGCAGAGGAAAGAGAAAAATGGACAAAAGTTAAAAAAAAAAGAAGAAAATAGCCCATTCAAAAATACGTTTTAAAATTTAAAGTATAACACTGACATATTCCCATAGAACTGTGCTTATGCCTGTATTATAACTTTTTTTGAAGTTAGGCATGTCTGAGCTTGTGAGTTCTGTTGTGATAGCCAGTGGAATAGGGTAGTTCATTGCTCACCTGTCCCACAGCTGTGGCAGTAGGAGGTACACAGTAACTATTTACTGAACTTAATTGGTTAATTTCTAACTCCACCCCTGTTTGTTCCCAAAATTACAGGACGAAGTCCCCTTGCGGAGAGGAAGAAAGACAACCAAGAAGCGGGAAGAAGAGGTGGACATTGATTTGGATGACCCTGAGATCAACCACTTCCCATTCCCTTTCCACGAGCTGATGGTGTGGGCCGTCCTGATGAAGCGGCAGAAGATGGCCCTGTTCTTCTGGCAGCATGGCGAGGAGGCCATGGCCAAGGCCCTGGTGGCCTGTAAGCTCTGCAAAGCCATGGCTCACGAGGCTTCCGAGAATGACATGGTCGATGACATCTCCCAGGAGCTGAACCACAACTCCAGGTTGGCCAGCCTAGCAAGTGGGTTACTCAGGGGAAGAGAAGGAAAGGCAGGCCCCAGATACTAAGGGGTCTGAGCTACCCAAACCTTCAAGGAGGCAGTATCTCCCCAGTGGTGCACACAGAGAGTGGGTACAAATTATTAATGTTTATGGTACTCAGTACAGGATACAGAGGAACATACAGACACATAGATTTTACTTCATTCTTGCACCTGGCCCAAGAGGTAGGTCCTCTTATAATGCATATTTTACAGCTGAAGAAACTAAGACTCAGAGAATTTAAGTAACTTGTCCAGGATCACACATTTGTGGTTGACAAGGCTCAGGTATGAACTGAGGTCTGTCACATTTAAGAAGACATACTGCACTCTACGTGTTGATGTTGGTCAGCCTCCCCCATCCACATGCCTTGAACTGGGGGCCTTGAGTGCAGGATCATGCCTTGTTTGGCTTACACCCCCAGTTCTAAGCACAGTATCTGGTGCCTTAGATGCTTAATGGATGTTGGCTGGATGAATGTATTAATGGACCAGAATGCATGAGAAACAACTGGACGACACCTTTTGTGGCTTGGCCGGTGGGTCCCCACACTCATCGGCTGAGTCTCTAAGATGGCCAAAAGACAACTCCTCGCGTCCTCTCTTTCAGGGACTTTGGCCAGCTGGCTGTGGAGCTCCTGGACCAGTCCTACAAACAGGATGAGCAGCTGGCGATGAAACTGCTGACGTACGAGCTAAAAAACTGGAGCAATGCCACCTGCCTGCAGCTCGCTGTGGCTGCCAAACACCGTGACTTCATTGCACACACATGCAGCCAGATGCTGCTCACAGATATGTGGATGGGCCGGCTCCGGATGCGCAAGAACTCAGGCCTCAAGGTCAGCGCGCCCAGAAGGCCCTGTCAGCTATGAGACCAGAGGGCTGGTTGGAATTTTCCAAGCCCAATCGGCAGTGGGGCTAGGCATTCTCTTACTCAGGAGGGTGGTTCTAAGCCCCAGCTGTGCTTCAGACTCTTCTGTGTAGTAGGTATTTTTTTTCATATAGAGACTAGGGCCCACCCCAAGTTCTGCCAAGTGAGAATCTCTAGAGGTGGCATGTCTAGACATTAATATTCTTCAGAAAATCCAAAGGTGATTGTCACACCAGGTACCATAGGAGGTACCATCTGCTTTGGCACAGGCCTTGCTGTGCCAGGAGCCCTCACCTGGGCAACCTCTCAGCACTGGGTACCTCTGAACATCTCGGCCTTCCTTTGCACCATGTCATAAAGAGACATTGGCTCTTACCAGCCTACCTTGAGAAAGTTTTTAAAAATTAATTTTTAAAAACATCAGGAAAGATACACAGTAAATGGTATGTATAGCAGTTATCTCTGGAGTTGAAAGAAGTAGGATAATGTGTGGCTTTCCCTTTTTTATGTTTCATCAATGTTTTACAAGGAAAACATTAAACTGAAAGTAGAAGAAAAAATGGGAGGGGAAAGATTGAAAGAGTGTTTTAAAATGCTGTGTATCTGTTTGGAGTTTGTGGTTGTCACAGCTGAAGCCAGGCTCCTATCTACCTAGAACTACCTAATCGAGGTAACCCTGAGGTCAGCTCAGAACAAAGACCACCAGACCGGAGCCATCCCCTGAGGCCACCCTGGCTGACCTGCCCCTCCTCCTCCCCGCCCCCCTCACACCCCCACCCGACCTCCGGGCTCCTGGCCCAGAGCCACAGAAGCATTCCGTGAAGTGGGTCATAGGCTCCCCGTGGCCGCACTGCTCGTAACCGCCAAGCACAGCTCTCAGCTCTGAAGACAGGTGTCACGTCCCCTGAAGCCTGCCAGCGTGCCACTGGAGCTGTCCCAGGCCTGCCGAGCACCCCGCGCTCAGGGTCACACGCTCTCCCATTTCCCTTAGCCGCTCCTGAGTGGCTGTGGGCGTCTGAGCACAGGCTGTCCCTGCCTTTTCACTGAAGGATCATTTTTACTTGCCTCTCAGTGTCCCTCTAAGCCCCTCACCTTGGAGTAATTTCTGCAGGGAGGTTCATATTCAGTAACCTTGTACACCGGAACCAGCATTTTATGATTGAGTGAAGAGGCGGGAGATTTGGGGAACACACGTCAGATGTCAGTATTATCATGCAGAAGTGTGCTTATTGCCTGGCAAACAGAGAATGAGATTGCCCTCTCGTGAGGAAGGCTCACATAGTTGGTGCCGTCACACGTAGATGTAAGCACGTTGTTGGTACATGAGAGAACTACAGTGCTGGGCCTCCCGGGCGTTCGTGCAGGGGAACTCACATGGCAAATAAAGAGCTCACTGGTGTGGGTGTGTGTGAGTGTGTGTGTGTTCCTGTTGTATAGTAGCAAATGCTGGGGGAATGCTCTAAAGTGAATAACATGCTTCCCTGCAGGGGCCTCCTCAAGGTCAACTCAGGACAGCATTTTTCACACAGAGATAACCAGATGACACATAATCAACTCCACCTGACACGTTAGCAAATAAAGGCCAGTGGACATATGTATGAATTGATTTCACAAAGTCGAGTGCTATCCAACGGCTAACTGGGACTCTGAATTCTTTCCCACTTTGGCTGTGGGCAGGGTCTGTTTTTCCTTAGTTTCCTCTCAGTGTGAAGTGGCTATTGATTGGGTAAGATGTAATGGGGGACAAGATGCTTTGTTTCTCCAAAACCAGACTGAGGAACTGTGCACAAGTCCCCAGCTGGGCAGGAGAGGCCCTCAGCCCTGTGTGGGTCATGACTCAGCCACTCACTGCTCGCTCAGGGTGCGCACAGCACCGCAGGCCCTCTGTTGCTAAGCAACCACCCTGGTCTTAATCCTTTAAATGTGATTATTATTATTATCATTATTATTACTTTAGGTAATTCTGGGAATTCTACTTCCTCCTTCAATTCTCAGCTTGGAGTTCAAGAACAAAGACGACATGCCCTATATGTCTCAGGCCCAGGAAATCCATCTCCAAGAGAAGGAGCCAGAAGAACCAGAGAAGCCCACCAAGGAAAAAGATGAAGAGGACATGGAACTGACAGTAAGAAAAACGAGGCATTTGTTGTCTGTGGGGAGAATCCCAATTCACATGTCCCATTGCTACAGCTGAAGAGCCAGTAACTCTTGAGGTCACCCTCCCACCAGGTTCTTTCATTTAAGTGTTGAGACCAAGGTATAAAAATGTCCTCTCTGTGCACAAACAGTACAATGACAGGGACTGATTCTGTGAGAAATCCTTCAGCCGGGCTCAGTGGTACAGGACAGTCCAGTGAAATTCAAGAGCAAAGTGCCCTAAATTTTCCCAGCAGGCAGTGCTTCCTAGACAACCAGGTGATGGGGATCTCGGCGCATGAAGGAGGAAGAGGAGCCAGTAATTTGGGAGCAGCCAGCTTCACTGAGCCGGACCTGTTCTTTTGATCAGAAGCTAAGCCTTTTTCTCTCCTCAGGGTCAGGCTCACAAATGCAGGGCTAATTGAATTTTTAGGTTTGTGTGCAGGGCTTTTATTAACTCATCCTGGTATAATTATAGAGCATGGATGCTTTGTCCTTTAGGGGGAATGGGGCAGCTGGGCATGGCACCATGTGCCACGGCCCCGCCTGAGCAGCATGACTGCCCCTGGACTGGATCCAGTGTCTAAAAATACCACGTGCTGTTAAAGGGACAAACAAGTCTTCATAGCTTTGGAGACATCAAGTAACAACTCCAAAGGCCTCCCTTGATACCCCTCACCCGCCCTGCCAGCCTGGCCGATGACTGTGAGGGCCCAGGAGGAGCTGTGAGGAGAGAAAACAAAAATTGGTTTTGCTCAGGTGACAAAAGGCCTTTGCATTCCTATCCCAGAGGGACCACCCTGTGAATTGTTTTTCGTCCGATAAACGCTATTTCTTTCCAGTAGGCCCTTCCTAAAGATTTCTTTTCAGGACAGTCTCAGCCTTAAGTGCATCACAGCATATGCATAGAGTCGCTCTTGATTAACCAATGCCCCACAGCTTCTGGCTCACTAAGTAAAAAGCCAACATTTGTTTTCCATGTCAGAGTTCTTATAAAAATCTGTGGGAGAGTCTGCTTCCCTCTGTGATGGTATCAGATGACTATCTTCCCTAAAGATCTTACCATAATTTTGGCCTTTTGAACCCCTTTCAAGGATAGAAGATGATTGTTTAATCATTAGCAGAAACACCTGGTAGGAGTAATACCGAATCTTTACTGCAGGCTTCGGGAGAGGGACAAAGAGTGTGCATGCCAGAGCCAGAATCCTGCCCCACCACATACTGTGGGATGTGGGCACAGCTTCTTAAACTCTAACATGGGAATCATAACCTTGTCTAGCTCACAGATAGTTTTGTGGTTTAATAAGTGTACATATAAACTATGTATTCTGGTGTCTGGCACACAGCAAGCCTTGGTAAATGTTTGCTAATGTTGTTATTACAGTATAAAATGTCTTACATGCACTTACTCATGGAATCCTCACTACAGTCCCATAAGGTAGGTACTATTATTATCCCATTTTACAGATGAGGAAGCTAAGACTCAGAGAGGTTAAATTGTTCAAGGTTATCCAGCTAATTGTTGCAAAGCTGGATTAGAACCCAGTCATACAGACTCCATAGGTCTATGGGCTAAGGGGTGCAGACAATTTCTTTCTAGGCTCAAACGTAGGCATTCAGCTGGTGTAGCCACATAGCAGAGAGAACCCAAAAGTAATGCCTGGATCTCCTATGTTAAATATGACATGGCCTTGAAGGCTCAGGAGGGACCCTAGGAAGACAGGCAGAAGCTGAATCAGCATTCTTTCTGGCTGGGTCTCAAGGAAGAACACACAGGAGGCAGCTCTCTTCTTCTGCTCAATCTAGAGCTTTGAGGACCTGATCCTTCAAGAAGCCACCTAAAGGATGCATCTCTGCACTGAGAGCAAAGTCTGCTTCTTGGCGAGTAGCCCTGGCCACTGTATATCGAGAGCCCAAGGGGAAGGCACACAACAGCGTTACTGCCTGAGCTTCTTCCCCAGGGCAGCTGCAGCAGGGAGGAGGAAGGGGCTGTGGGCTGGCAAAGTCAGGGCAGGACAGCATTGTCTCTAAGGGGAGCTTCCTTTCCTCCTGACAACAAATTCTGCTCTGGCAGGGAGGGTTGGAGAATGCAGCTCGTTGACACCTCTGCCACTTTCATAGGATTGATATTTGAGCTTTGGTGTTAAGCCAATATATCTTCTCTTGGCATGGGACGTTTTCCTCGACCTTCCCAAAATTTTACACAAAATATCATCAGCCTTGATTTGCATCATCTTAGTAGCCTTTCGGAGCTTAGTTCACGTCAAAGGATTTTTCCCAGGCTTGCCCTCTGTGTCTAGTCAGCAGAGATTCTCAAACTAGATTGTGTGGTTTTGTCTGTGTTTGACCCTGTTGACATTCTGCTTTAAGGAATGTAGTCAAAGAAATGTTTGACTACTGGGAAAAGGAATCAATACAATCAGTAAGTTAAGCTGCTTAGTCTGGAATTAATGAAATGCCAAAAACACTTTATGCAAACCCATGAAAAAACAAGCCTTTTAAAAATGCATTCATTCTGAGTGTATCTGAATAATAGAGGCAAAACACATTGTTGTGTTTCTTTCTTTGTTTTACCCACATTGCCAGATAAGTGTCTTGCACTTTGCCTAGTAAAGTCCCCCAACATGTCCACAAACCCCACGGCATGGTTTTCACTCTGTGGGGAAAGTCACTGCCCCTAGAGGTTGCCCTAAGGTGCCACTCTTCAAGATGCCTAAAACCCTCCAAGTTGCCTCACTGCCATCCCACTGTGTCCCCAGATGGTATTGTATTATTGAGCATATAAAGAAGCAGAATAGAAGCAGGATAATTATGGTACATCAATTATGAATTATAGAAGGACAAATATCATGTAGCCTCAGAGTTTCCTGAGGTCAATGATGAATATTTATAGAACTCTGTTGCTGTCTAGTGTGCTATATCCATCATGGAGATTGGCTCTGTTCTCTGATCAACATTAAGGCTTAGATAGGCCATGATATGGAATCCTACTCATTCACTAGGTCAGGGTAATTTTCTAGCCGAAGGGCCCATAAAGTCATAGAAGTTACCTTTTCCAGAAATTCTATTGGTTACAGGTAAATAAATCACTTGCGATTGTTATCTAAGTAGGTGGACATTTGCAGCAATGATGAAAGCAGTTGAAACTAATATGTGTATATTTTGGGTAAGGTAGTTTGAAACCAGAATTATCTAGTGAGTCTCAACTTTAAGAAAAACTTACATTATTTTCATAATTAGATCTCTCACCTCTAAACCCATATTCCCAGTGATTTTTCTTGTCTCAAATCCTTGTCAGTTTCTGAGCAGTTACAAGGCTGAACCGTTTTCACATTTAATAAAAATCTCATTTCCCAAACATTGTAGCACTAACCTTGTCTTAGAACAACATTGAAAGATTTAAAGCCAAGAAATTAGGCTGTAATAGACTCCTAACAACACACTTTTCTTTTTTCTAGTGAGAAATCTCCAGTAGATTTCATTGCAGTCAAGTCTAGAGTACGTGAGAACATCTCAGTTCACTTTAAAGACTAGCTAATATTTGCTGAGCACTTATTAGGTGACAGGTGCTTACTGCTTGGTGAAGCAACCCTACAGCAGGTGCTGCTATCAGCCCCATTTTACAGATAAATAAACAAGTTCCAGCAAGGCTAAGACTTGCCTAGGTGCCGCAGAGTCCAGCATTCCAATTAGGACTCAATCCTCCTTCTGAGTGACCCAAAGCCTGGAGCTCTTCACCAGCAGGATCTTCAGCCATCTTTGGGGCAACCATCCTGTCACTTGCCCTCCAGACAAGTGTGTGTGTTCTGCCTGTTCTCATATTCTGCCTTTTTTGTGATGTTGAATTGGGATCATTGCTGCTGTCATCATGCATGAGAAGGGACTAATTCCATTTTTAAGGAGTTCTCCGACAGGATGAGTCGTCTGCAGGCCAGGACTGACTTCTCCGGGGCCCTGGCTGGCTCACCCATGCAGGGGATAGCAGTGTGGCCAGGAATTGCCATGTAACTAATACCAGCAATAATTCAGGTTTTATGGGGTTTGGGATCAGGGAACCAAGGCATATATCTAAGGACTGGGGAGATGTTCCTGACCTCACTAGGCTCTAGTTCTCACATAACTTAGCCTCTTGAATACTCATAACCTTTGGATAAGCAAGGTATTACTGGTCTAATTTACCTTTGACTTAAGAGTTCATAGCAGGAGTATATACAGAATTCAAATCCAGATCTGCCTGTCTTACCATGTTTATGGAGAGAGGAGGAAAGAGGAAAGACAGAGTCCTAGTCTATACTCATTCTCCTTTTCCGAACTTCGGATATCTTCCATCACCTAGATCCTCCAGGGGTTCTGGGGTGAAGGAGAGGAGAATGGTCAAGAAATATCTCTAAGGCTTTCCATCACAGGCAAAATGCCTTTGGTTCTATGTAGAAGGCAAATGCATCATTAGGGAAGGCACAACCTCTGAATCTCTGGGGGCCTTGGACAAAGCTCTTAGGTCCAAGGAGCATGCTTTCCTCATCTATAAAATGAGCACATAGAACTACATGCTCTCTAGAGCCCAGCCATGACGGTATGATTCTCATCTACTGTAGGCAATGTTGGGACGAAACAACGGGGAGTCCTCCAGAAAAAAGGATGAAGAGGAAGTTCAGAGCAGGCACCGGTTGATCCCCCTGGGCAGAAAAATCTATGAGTTCTACAATGCACCCATCGTGAAGTTCTGGTTCTACACTGTAAGCATCTTTTCTTTTCTTTTCTTTTTCCTGATGAGTGGGCACAAATGCCCTGTGTGGTTTCCTCTGCGAGTCATAATATAAGGTCCACACAAGCAGGAATGAGAGCTCTACCACCTTGCTTTTTCCAGGAGCTTTGCAAGGTTTGTGGAGTTTGTGAGCAGCTTCCTCAGCTTCTACATTTCTCCTCCTTGCAGAAAATAAAGCAAATCGTAAAAGTGGAAACTAAAAGAAAGAGAGGTGAAATGAGTATGAGTCTAGCCTAGCAGAAAAACAGATGTCGTTTTACAAAACACTTACATGTTCTGGACTGATGAGGGCTGGATCAGAGCTGCCTGTTTTAGATGCCAATCCGGGGCTTGGGGGAACATGTGACGGGCAAGGGCTGAGCAGTGTGTTATAAGTAACACTGCTGCAGATCAGTAGCGTAAGTATGTAACGGCTCCCAATCTGAGCATCATCAAACAACCTTTCTTGCTCTGACACAATGAAACAGCATGCCAACTGAAATAGCAAAAACTACTCAGAGCAGAAACTACCATCACAGCAACTATGGCTTGGTATGCACACCCCGCAAACAATTTTGCCCAGAAGATGAAAGATGGTCCCCCAAATTGCCACCTGATATGGTAGAAATGGCTTAATTATTGCTTTTCTACTTCTGTTTTTCATGGTATTTTAAGCTGAAGGTGAGCTTTGGCCCAGGTCATCTCTGGTTCTGTGCTGGAACTGGACCTGTGCCAGGTGCAGAGTAGCACACTGGTATTTTTGGCCCTTCTCCCAAAGAGCTGCATGCTCACAGACCCCTGAGTCAGCAGCAGGGCAATCCAAGTCTGAGGCCGAGATGCCTCAAGTGACTTGCTGATGCGGTTTTGTGTGGTGTGCATGCCAGCAGTTAATGCTGGCTTTGAATGAGGCTTTCTTAACTCAACACTAGTGCCATTTGGGGCAGCATAATCCTTAGAGGAAGCCTGTCCTGTGCATGTCGGCATGCTGAGCAGCCTCTCTGGCCCGTGCCTCCCAGGCACCAGAAGCACTCCCGAGTGCCCGAGTGCCCATGCACAGCCCAAGCATCTCCACACACCACCGCAACTGCCACTATTTGAAGACCAATGCTTTCAAGTAGGGTCATGCAAAAGGATAAGATATTATCAAACTATAAATGGGAGATGTTTCTAAGTGAAGTAAAAATTCAAATTTATCGATGTTAAAAAAAGCAAAAAAAATTCTCCCCTGAAAAAAATAACTCAGACATGGAAACTCATTGCTGCATATATATATTTTTTTCAGATTATTTTATTAGAAGAAATAAACAATATTAATGTATTGCTCAAAGTATAATTAAAATTTAAAAATTGTATATTATTTTTAAAAATTAATGAAATCTTTATTAGTGAGAAGATTGAGCTTGGTGAGAGGACACTAATTTGCATATATATTTTATACACATATATATTATCTTTTTTATCTTGTGCAAACAACTTAGTGGGGACAAGCATGGACTTTGGAGTAAGGCAGGCTGAGTGAAAGTTCTGTCTGTGCCTCTTAGTGTTATTGTACAACCTCAAGCAAGCTACTTGAGCACCCTGTGCCCAGATTCCTTCAGATGAGGATAAGAATAGTACCTACTTTGTAGGGTTTGGTAAAGATTAAATGTGCTAAAATATGTGAAGCACTTAGAACAGTGCTTGGCACATGTAAGCACAATATAAATGTAACTGCTGTTATTCCTGGGCTAGTCACATTGCACAGGAATGGTATTTCTGATTCATTCATGCACTCAGCAATAATGATATCATTATTGAACACCTACTGTGAGGTACTGTTCTGGGTGCTTTACATAAATACATAATAATTTTACTGCATTTTGCACCAAGGTGTGTACTTCTCATTTGAGGCTTCTTCAGTTGTTCCAACCAACCTAGAACACGTCTCGGCAAATGACAGTCCCAAATCCAGGCCCAAATCCTAGGCCTATTATTGTGGCCTGTGAGCTAAGAATGGTTTTTACTTCTTTAAAGATTTGAAATAAAGTCAGAGGAAGAATGCATTTGTTATAATACATAAAAGTAATGTTAAATTCATATTTCAGTGTCCACAAATAGTTTTATTGAAACACAACCAAACTCGTTAGGTTACCTGTAATCTGGCTGCTCTCGTGCTACAATGGTTGAGTTGATGACTTGTGACAGAGACCATCTGGCCTTTACAGCCTTAAAAAGTAACTCTCTGGCTCTTTATAGAAAAGTTTTGCAGACTTCTGTTCTAGATCATAAAAGAACAAGTAGAAGTAATAGTATCAAGAATCATCCATCACCTTTATGAACAGCGGACTCACTTTTCTTGCTCTTTCAAGACATCTCTCTTTTTGTTCTCCCTTGGTTCCCTTGTGCCCATTCATTCAACTGAGGCACTTTTTTAGCCAAGAATGCTTTTAAATCACAAATGCCCTGGTTTTTGGTCTTAGATACACATTGGAATCACCTGGAGTGCTTTAAAAAACACCTGGGTTCCATTTAATCTATATCTTTACCCACAAAATAAGATAGCTGGGTTCTATTCTCAGAGATTCTGACATCACTGGTCTGGGGCACAGCACAGACATAAGGTATTTCAAAGGTGCCAGATGGTTGTAATGAGTAGCCAGGGTTGAGAAGCACTACCCTAGACAAAAGGCTGAATTTTTAGCACAGTACTTCCAAAACTTCCATGACAAGAAGTTTTGTTAGAAATGCAAATTCCTGGCCCCATCACAGACCCACTAAATCAAATTTCCAAGAAGGAGCCTGAGGGGCTGTGTGTTTAATAAGCTTCCCAGATGCATCCTGTGGTTCTGGGAAGCTTGGGGCAACTGCTTTACTTGTATCCTAGGGACAGGTGGTGAAGCTGCCTCTTTGAGGAGTGGGGCTGTGTCCTACTCCATTCTGCCTGGCTGACTGGGTTCGACTCAGCAAACCGATCAGACTCGATGCCATGTCATGTTTGGTTGGGTTTACACAATGGTTTTCAGAAATCCACATTTATATACTGACAAAGCCCAGGCCTCAAGGAAGTGAACTGAGAGGAGCAGTGCCAAGTTTTAAGTCCTCAGAGATCCTTAACAATAACATTCAAAGGTTCGTTCTGATTTTGGTTGTGTTCTTTCCTATAAGAGTGTTTCCCATTCTGATTTCTAAGTCTCCCATTCTAGGCCCCCAAGGTTCAGAAAGATAGGACACATCTCATTTCCACATAATTTCCCTTCCTTATCTTAGCAAATTCCCAGAGATGCAGGTTGGATCCTCTTCTGTTCCAAGGCATGGATGCAACTGGCTTCCAACCCAGTCTATGATGGGGAGTCTGTTTAAAGCACCCTGCTAGCAAGGATGCCAATCCAAGGTATAAAGGTGGTGCCAGGTTAGAGGGTAGGAAGTGTGCTCTGGGCTTCCTAGCATGGATAGACTTCTGCTCCTAACACTGTGTGCCCCTCTGCTCTCTAGGGGCAGTAGGAAGAGCCCCAGCAGGGAGTCACAGCAAACTGCAGCAGGCTGTGGTGCTTGCATTTCATAGTTTAGTAGTCATGCATCTTGGTTAATGGAAAGTTTATAAAGAGAATATATAAACAAATAAAATACAATGCTTATAGAATTCCCACTGCCTGAAGAATCGTATGGTTATGTTTCTGCTCAAATCTGATGTTCTACACACAGCTTGTTAAAGCTTACAGAATATGTACATGTGTGTGTTTGTGTATATATACACATGCCATTCAAACATGGTATGTTAAGGTAATCTGTAGCAAGACCCCATAAATGTCAGTGAGTTCCAACATAGGCCACATCCAGATTGCAGCCGATGCTCTGTCGTGCCATTTAAACATGTTTAAAGTCCTATTTTCAGAAGCCCATATTTTGAGAGTTGTCCCAAAATATTATACTGTAGCCTGGTTATGGAGAGAAAAGGTCACTGTAGAATAACTGTGATTTAAAGAACAGGCAGGAGCTGAAAAGGATGATGTGAACTATAATGAGGGCAATTTTAAAAAGGCAGAAAAAGAGGTATGAATAGTTAACGGGGGATCAAAAGGAAGCAAGGACTGAGGTAAGAGGAAACAAAAGGAATGGAGGTTTCTTGAAAAAGAGGTGAATAATAATATTAGCCCCCATTCACTGGGCCTCTACACTGTGTCAGGAGATAGCTTATATTCTCAACCCCCAGCCCCACCCCACAATCCTTCTAAAAGCTCTTTAAGATCAACAGCAATCACCTCCATTTCACAGCATGGAGGCCCAGGCAAGTGAAGTGATTTACACAAAATGATAAAGCTTGAAAGTACTTAAGCTAGGATTTGCATGCAGGTTTCATGAACTTTTGCACCTACATTCCTTCCACCAAACAAATACATGAGACGTGAGTTTGGAAGACAGAGGCAGGTTGGAGGAGTTAGTTAAGCCCTAAAAAGTGGAGGTTCTGGAAAACATGTGTGTGCACCTGCACATGCGACTCTGGGCTTATATGTGATACACGAAGATAATGCTTTGGAATGTTTTGCAATAAATTGAGTAAAATGATAAAAACCAGGGCAGTTAACAGGATTCCTTTCACCTAGCAGTAATGGAATTGATCTGATAGATAAGGAAGCCACCAGAAGGAGAGAAGGATTTCAAGTCAGAAGGAGGCTTTAGCCACTGAAGTTCTTTATGCTTTATAAATAACAGTTTCTCAGGAACTAGAGAGTCGATGCCAGGGTATAATGGCAAACAGGAATCGTATGAGCCAAGTTACATTTTAAAGAGCATTCTACGTGATTTCATGTAGAAGAAACTCCTATCAGGTGAGGTTTCACAATGTGCTCACGATGCTGAGTAGGAACTGAGGCACAGATAAAATGAGGGTCCCTGACGTGGTGGGTGCACGGAACAAACCTCTTGGGTGGAGAATGTGGCTGCTGGGCCTCTAGTGTCCACGTGACTGCCCTCATGCCTCTATGCACATGCCCACTGAACTCGGACATGTTCACCTTTCAAGAGATGAGAAGTTATACGGTTTTGTCTAAATGTGTCGACATAATAGGGCCTCAGAAAACAAACTTTGACCCAAATTAAGAATCTATTCATTATTTATAAAAGACAGGAACAAAAAAAACAAAAGAAAGAGGAAAGAAAAAGAGAAAGAGAAAAAAGGAGAAAGGAAAAAGAGAAAGAAAAAGAAAAAATAACTAAAAAGAGAACAAGGAAATAAATAAAAAGAAAGAGAAAGAAAAACAGAAGGAAGAAAGGAGGGTGTCCTATCAGTACAGAAAGCAACATTCTCTCGCTCTGTAGGGCTACCAGTTTCACTCTATCTCCCTGCCAGGCTGCATTTTTCTCCTTTTAAGCTGCCTCCAGGGCTCCGGAGTCACACTGTATCTCCAGAATTCTCAACCCTTTCGTCCACACTGTGTCCTATTCTTTGCTATGTGGGCTCCAAAGAGTACAGATTTGAGTAAAGTCACTATTAGCTCCTACTCACAGCCCCCAAGTTCCCTAGAGTGCATTATTCAATTTGAAGCATGCCTAGAAAAAGTTTAGCTTGTATGCCGTTTCCTGAGGGGGAGTTTTTTCTGTGGAAGCCCCTCAGCCCCTCCTGCAAGCATCTCACCAGCCCGCCTACACTCCACTCTTCTGGATGTAACTGAACCCTTCAGGGACAGCCACCAAAGCCTAACCCTGAGGTTTTTTCCTGGGACACCCAGCAACTCTGCCAGTTCCACCTCTGGCGCTAGAGCCTCATGAGGATTAAACCCCGCCCCAAGGCCCAGTTGGCACACTACCCATTCCTTCTTAGACATTGCTTTCTTTTCTCCTATTTTGTTTCAAAGAAGCAGAAGCAAAAGAAAGGAAGAAATGTACCAGCCTGGATAGGCAGAAAGGTGGTGCAGCGGAAAATAGGCAGAGCCCCCCCGGGGGCACTACCAAGCCAAGCATATTAAGGTAGGAATAAAAAAAGAAGACGTTAACTCAGAAGATAATTAAAGTGAGACTTTGAGATAAAGTCTGGGCTATTTTCATGTTGGTTTGACCAGTTTACAAGTATAGCAGGTGTCTTCCTTTCCTTCTTACAGACATATAATCCACCTGGTATTCATTAGGCAAAAATCCACTGTGTACTTTAGTTCAAGAACCTGAGGTTCACGCATGAGCCAAGAGCAGCCCCTGAAAGAAGAGGCTCCCTTGTTAGCCAGGACGACAGAACTGGCCAATGCGAGCAAAACGATGCACCATGATATATAGGTATGAGCAAGGCATTGGGACCCAGAGATGCAAGAAGATTGCATACCAAATTATTTCAAATATTGCAGTCTTTTTCTAAGTCTTTGGGTAGTTTGGAGCTCTGAAGTTCATTTTGTCGTGACTCCCGAGTCCTGCTTGCTGACCTTGTTCTGTCCTACTGTACAGTGGCCTTCACAGTTCCTGGGTCGTCACAGCCAGAGAACACTGTATTGTGTTTCCCTACAGCTGGCGTACATCGGATACTTGATGCTCTTCAACTACATCGTGTTAGTAAAGATGGAACGCTGGCCTTCCACCCAGGAATGGATCGTCATTTCCTATATTTTCACCCTGGGAATAGAAAAGATGAGAGAGGTAACTGCTTTCATAAAAGAGAATATAGGAGAAAGATGGTGGTAGTTACATTTGTGGATGGAGGGGACGGGCGACGCTCAGGATTGAAATTAAGAAAGAAACTGTTTTATCTAATGCTGCCACAGAAAGAATGGACTTGGCTTTGAGGGCTGCTGACAAATCTGCAGGGGCTTCGCAGTGTGTGTTTATAGGGTCTTCACTCTGTATACACACTTAGGATTTAGTCTGTTTCTGTGAACATAGCACTTACCCCAAGAAATCCTCCAGTTGTCTTTGATGCTGTTTACATCTCTTTCCCTCATCCCTATAAATATGACTTATAAAATTTTTCCACTTCTTAAAAATCCCTAGATTTTCCCACTTTTAACTCCCATTGCGACCCCTTATTCTATGTCTGTTTGGACACAGCTCACCAGTACCTATGGGTCTCCGAATGCACTTCAGCAGCTCTAGGAGGAACAACGTTTTCATTCATTAGTTTATTCTCTGGTTTATTACTTCTCAACATTTATTATGCACCCGCTGGGCACTTGCCTCTCCACCAGCCCTAGGCATCACCCAGATGAACTGAGCCTATTTCTCATCCTTCAGGTTGAAGGTGTGAATCTCTCTTTTCTCCCTCCCCACTCCTTTTGTTTAAAAGGAGCCATCGTAATGCCACCACAATATGATTCACTTGAAATCTAAGTTAGGCACAGGGGCAGTCAGAATCAGAGCCACTAATTCACAGTGTCAAGCAATGTCCACCAGAGGGCTCTGCAACCCTGCTCCACCCGCAGCTGGCAAACTCCCTTTTCCAAGCCTGTGCGGAAGGCAGGCCTGTGCAGTCTGACGATACCTCTCCGTTTCCCCCTGGAACTACCTAAACTCAGCAAGAGAGGTCCTTCCAGGAAGAATCCTCCCTGCCAGTCCACTGCACATCAAGAGCTCCAGAACAGTCCTACTCACTGTGAGTGGGATAATTTTGGGGGCTCCATAGAAAAAAACGATTCCTACAAATCCACAAAGGCACCCTTGCCTTCATTACTTAGGTAAGGCTGGTTCAAGGTCCCTTACTATCTTAGGTTTTAGCCCTAAATGTTCTCCAGAGAAGAAGATGGTTTGAAAAAGATCAGGGGGAAGGAATATGCATTTGGGATCATTAAAAATATATATCCCATGTATATTTAGAGCTCTTCCCTTGGCTTTTTCAGCTCCTTGGGGATATTTAAATTCTGACCAGCATGCCCCCACCCTGAGAGTTTGGCGCTGGTACACTAGTTCCATTTTGTTAGGAACTGGATTTCTTTTTTTAACGGATGCCTCGGCTTGTTCCTCTAGTTGTCCACACTTCAGCCTTCCCGTTCAGAGTCCCTTCCACTTCCTGACCAGTGTTGTGGATTTCCCATTTGTAAACTGAAAAATAGTAATAAATTTGCTCTGGTCTTTGTGTAGCTGTCTGAGGACCGAGGCCCGTTCCTGCAAAGGGCTCTGGGGCTGTGCAGTGCCAGCTCCCTCTCCTGTGTTTTGTCGCCCAGATGCATATTCCGTCTTCATGATAAGCAGAAAGGGAAAGCCTTGAGCAGGGAGACTGGAATCTCTCCAGGGACTAGGCTGCAAGAAGACAGGAGCAGTCTGTACTCCACGGACTGTTCTGGAAGAGGCTGCCAAGCAGGCGCGCTGCCAGGGGCCTCCAGGCCTCCATATCCATTTCTCCGTAGGCGGCGTGTAACCGCGGAGAGGGCAGGGGTCAGCCCCCGAGTCCTGGCTGCTGCGCGGCTGTGAGGAGGAGGGAGGCAGGAGCCACGTCGGCGGCTTCGGCCGGGTGAGGGGCTCCCCGCCCCCACGCCGCTGCAGCCCTGCACCCATGAGAGACGCTCGGTGGCCGCCCGCACGCAGGCCCGCGGCTCCCACGCCGGATCCGGGAAAAGGGCGCAGCCGGGGCCGCGCGGCTTCCCGCGCTGCCCTCATTCCCAGCGCCATGTCCTGGGGCGTGCGGTCACCAAGCAAGCCCCGGCATCCCGTCAGCAGCCACGTGCGCGGCCGGCGGTCTCGGGGCGGGGCCCGACCGCCGGGTGAGGCCCCTCCCTGCAGGTGTGCGGACTAAGCCGCAGGGCCTGGGCGATTTCTGCGGCCCTCGGCGGGGAGGGCGCGCTCGTCCGAACCCGGGTCGCCCCAGGCCCCTCCCTGGCCCTCCTGCGCGCGCTCCCGGCCTGAGGCCCCGCAGCGCCCCGCACTCCGACGGGAAGGCGGACGCGGGATCCATTCTTCACCCGCGCTTCGCCTGCGCCGCTCTGCTTTTATCCCTTTATCTCATGTTGAGATCTCACAGAAGCATTTGCACGATTTAAAAAAATCATACTATAAATCTCCGGTTGAACAGGGTTGGGAGGTGTGGGCAAAGGGTTAGAAAAACGCTAAGGCGCTGCCCATTCCTCCGTCCCCGCCCCCACACACGGATTTCTGCCTGATGAAAACGCCCGCTGGGGTGGGAAGCCATCAGGACGGCAGGGGCTGTGGGAAGTCCTGAGGGGTAGGACACTGGCTCTTAACCTATGACCACCAAGCTTGACCTAGGAACTTGTAGGGAATGTAAAACTGGAGCCCCACACCAGGCATATGAAGCAGAAACGCTAGGTGTAGGAGCCAGGTGTTTTCTCCAGCCCCCCAGGTGATTCTGAAATGCTAGAGTTTAAGAAACCCCGGGCTCCGGTTATGCGGCACTGCAGACAGTGAAGACCGAGGCTACCAGGCGGCTCCTGGTATGCTGCTCGGCCTTCCAAGCTCTTGTCCTGACTTACTAAGGCCTCCCTTCCTTAGTGTTTCAGGCCAAGGTAAGCCTTTCAAGGGGACATCAGGATTCAAGAGGAGGTCCTGAGTTGGGAAAGCGGTGGGTTCTAGGTCGTAGAGATGGAAATCTCAGGGGTCAACACAAATGATTCACGAGGGTGGCCCTGCCACATAGCCTCAGTAAGCTGGCCTCCCTGACTCCTCACATCCTGGGGTAGGCTGTGGTGTGGATGGGGGTCATTTGCTGCTATGCAGCTGTGTATTTCATAGAACCTATGTGTGGCAGCAAGAAGGCCCTTCTGTTTAAAGTAAATCATTGTCCCTCCCAGCAGTTAAGATACACAGGGACTGGAGAATTGCTGTGATGTGTCTATGCAACAGGCAGTGAGTCAGTAATTACTGACTATCTGTTATATAACCAGCCCTAGGGAACAAAGGGTCTGCCTCAGGTTGTAGTCTAGTGGAGGTGGTAGATGATAGATGGAGAAAGGGATGCATGAATGGATAGATAAATAGACGGACACATATACATATACATGCATAGAAAAGTAAATTTCATAAGGTGATAAAAATCTGTGAAAAAATTAGTACTATATTAGAAAATGACTTGGGGATGTGGAGACCACTGCAGTAATAGGGTAGTCAAGGAAGGTCTTCCTACGGAGAAATTTGAGCAGAGAATTTGAGGATGAGAAGGAGCCAAACACATAAAAATCTGGGAGAAGAAAATGCCCAACAGAGGGAAGAAATGCAATGTCCTGAGCATAGAATGGACTCATTATGCTGTAGAGCAGAGCACTAATGTGACAGGATGGGGTGGGGAGAATATGGCGAAACGTGAAATGAAGCCATGGTAAAGAATTTGCATCTTTATTTGTAGTGAAGTTATCAGAAGATTTAAGTATTCAGTTATCATAATTTGCTTTAGTTTTTATTGTTGTTTATATATCTCTTGAGTCTCTCTTTAAAAAAAAATTGTGGTGGTATGATAAAATCAACACCTTGCAAGGCTACATACAGCATGATGAGTTTTTACTTACCCATACAACTGTGTAATCATGGTCCAGATCATGGCTTAAATTTTTTAAAGATCCTTCTGTGTGCTGCTTAGAGGTGGATTGAGATGGTGGGCAGCAATGGCAGACGTTAGAAGGCCATAACCCTTTCGTCCACACTGTGTCCTATTCTTTGCTATGTGGGCTCCAAAGAGTACAGATTTGAGTAAAGTCACTATTAGCTCCTACTCACAGCCCCCAAGTTCCCTAGAGTGCATTATTCAATTTGAAGCATGCCTAGAAAAAGTTTAGCTTGTATGCCGTTTCCTGAGGGGGAGTTTTTTCTGTGGAAGCCCCTCAGCCCCTCCTGCAAGCATCTCACCAGCCCGCCTACACTCCACTCTTCTGGATGTAACTGAACCCTTCAGGGACAGCCACCAAAGCCTAACCCTGAGGTTTTTTCCTGGGACACCCAGCAACTCTGCCAGTTCCACCTCTGGCGCTAGAGCCTCATGAGGATTAAACCCCGCCCCAAGGCCCAGTTGGCACACTACCCATTCCTTCTTAGACATTGCTTTCTTTTCTCCTATTTTGTTTCAAAGAAGCAGAAGCAAAAGAAAGGAAGAAATGTACCAGCCTGGATAGGCAGAAAGGTGGTGCAGCGGAAAATAGGCAGAGCCCCCCCGGGGGCACTACCAAGCCAAGCATATTAAGGTAGGAATAAAAAAAGAAGACGTTAACTCAGAAGATAATTAAAGTGAGACTTTGAGATAAAGTCTGGGCTATTTTCATGTTGGTTTGACCAGTTTACAAGTATAGCAGGTGTCTTCCTTTCCTTCTTACAGACATATAATCCACCTGGTATTCATTAGGCAAAAATCCACTGTGTACTTTAGTTCAAGAACCTGAGGTTCACGCATGAGCCAAGAGCAGCCCCTGAAAGAAGAGGCTCCCTTGTTAGCCAGGACGACAGAACTGGCCAATGCGAGCAAAACGATGCACCATGATATATAGGTATGAGCAAGGCATTGGGACCCAGAGATGCAAGAAGATTGCATACCAAATTATTTCAAATATTGCAGTCTTTTTCTAAGTCTTTGGGTAGTTTGGAGCTCTGAAGTTCATTTTGTCGTGACTCCCGAGTCCTGCTTGCTGACCTTGTTCTGTCCTACTGTACAGTGGCCTTCACAGTTCCTGGGTCGTCACAGCCAGAGAACACTGTATTGTGTTTCCCTACAGCTGGCGTACATCGGATACTTGATGCTCTTCAACTACATCGTGTTAGTAAAGATGGAACGCTGGCCTTCCACCCAGGAATGGATCGTCATTTCCTATATTTTCACCCTGGGAATAGAAAAGATGAGAGAGGTAACTGCTTTCATAAAAGAGAATATAGGAGAAAGATGGTGGTAGTTACATTTGTGGATGGAGGGGACGGGCGACGCTCAGGATTGAAATTAAGAAAGAAACTGTTTTATCTAATGCTGCCACAGAAAGAATGGACTTGGCTTTGAGGGCTGCTGACAAATCTGCAGGGGCTTCGCAGTGTGTGTTTATAGGGTCTTCACTCTGTATACACACTTAGGATTTAGTCTGTTTCTGTGAACATAGCACTTACCCCAAGAAATCCTCCAGTTGTCTTTGATGCTGTTTACATCTCTTTCCCTCATCCCTATAAATATGACTTATAAAATTTTTCCACTTCTTAAAAATCCCTAGATTTTCCCACTTTTAACTCCCATTGCGACCCCTTATTCTATGTCTGTTTGGACACAGCTCACCAGTACCTATGGGTCTCCGAATGCACTTCAGCAGCTCTAGGAGGAACAACGTTTTCATTCATTAGTTTATTCTCTGGTTTATTACTTCTCAACATTTATTATGCACCCGCTGGGCACTTGCCTCTCCACCAGCCCTAGGCATCACCCAGATGAACTGAGCCTATTTCTCATCCTTCAGGTTGAAGGTGTGAATCTCTCTTTTCTCCCTCCCCACTCCTTTTGTTTAAAAGGAGCCATCGTAATGCCACCACAATATGATTCACTTGAAATCTAAGTTAGGCACAGGGGCAGTCAGAATCAGAGCCACTAATTCACAGTGTCAAGCAATGTCCACCAGAGGGCTCTGCAACCCTGCTCCACCCGCAGCTGGCAAACTCCCTTTTCCAAGCCTGTGCGGAAGGCAGGCCTGTGCAGTCTGACGATACCTCTCCGTTTCCCCCTGGAACTACCTAAACTCAGCAAGAGAGGTCCTTCCAGGAAGAATCCTCCCTGCCAGTCCACTGCACATCAAGAGCTCCAGAACAGTCCTACTCACTGTGAGTGGGATAATTTTGGGGGCTCCATAGAAAAAAACGATTCCTACAAATCCACAAAGGCACCCTTGCCTTCATTACTTAGGTAAGGCTGGTTCAAGGTCCCTTACTATCTTAGGTTTTAGCCCTAAATGTTCTCCAGAGAAGAAGATGGTTTGAAAAAGATCAGGGGGAAGGAATATGCATTTGGGATCATTAAAAATATATATCCCATGTATATTTAGAGCTCTTCCCTTGGCTTTTTCAGCTCCTTGGGGATATTTAAATTCTGACCAGCATGCCCCCACCCTGAGAGTTTGGCGCTGGTACACTAGTTCCATTTTGTTAGGAACTGGATTTCTTTTTTTAACGGATGCCTCGGCTTGTTCCTCTAGTTGTCCACACTTCAGCCTTCCCGTTCAGAGTCCCTTCCACTTCCTGACCAGTGTTGTGGATTTCCCATTTGTAAACTGAAAAATAGTAATAAATTTGCTCTGGTCTTTGTGTAGCTGTCTGAGGACCGAGGCCCGTTCCTGCAAAGGGCTCTGGGGCTGTGCAGTGCCAGCTCCCTCTCCTGTGTTTTGTCGCCCAGATGCATATTCCGTCTTCATGATAAGCAGAAAGGGAAAGCCTTGAGCAGGGAGACTGGAATCTCTCCAGGGACTAGGCTGCAAGAAGACAGGAGCAGTCTGTACTCCACGGACTGTTCTGGAAGAGGCTGCCAAGCAGGCGCGCTGCCAGGGGCCTCCAGGCCTCCATATCCATTTCTCCGTAGGCGGCGTGTAACCGCGGAGAGGGCAGGGGTCAGCCCCCGAGTCCTGGCTGCTGCGCGGCTGTGAGGAGGAGGGAGGCAGGAGCCACGTCGGCGGCTTCGGCCGGGTGAGGGGCTCCCCGCCCCCACGCCGCTGCAGCCCTGCACCCATGAGAGACGCTCGGTGGCCGCCCGCACGCAGGCCCGCGGCTCCCACGCCGGATCCGGGAAAAGGGCGCAGCCGGGGCCGCGCGGCTTCCCGCGCTGCCCTCATTCCCAGCGCCATGTCCTGGGGCGTGCGGTCACCAAGCAAGCCCCGGCATCCCGTCAGCAGCCACGTGCGCGGCCGGCGGTCTCGGGGCGGGGCCCGACCGCCGGGTGAGGCCCCTCCCTGCAGGTGTGCGGACTAAGCCGCAGGGCCTGGGCGATTTCTGCGGCCCTCGGCGGGGAGGGCGCGCTCGTCCGAACCCGGGTCGCCCCAGGCCCCTCCCTGGCCCTCCTGCGCGCGCTCCCGGCCTGAGGCCCCGCAGCGCCCCGCACTCCGACGGGAAGGCGGACGCGGGATCCATTCTTCACCCGCGCTTCGCCTGCGCCGCTCTGCTTTTATCCCTTTATCTCATGTTGAGATCTCACAGAAGCATTTGCACGATTTAAAAAAATCATACTATAAATCTCCGGTTGAACAGGGTTGGGAGGTGTGGGCAAAGGGTTAGAAAAACGCTAAGGCGCTGCCCATTCCTCCGTCCCCGCCCCCACACACGGATTTCTGCCTGATGAAAACGCCCGCTGGGGTGGGAAGCCATCAGGACGGCAGGGGCTGTGGGAAGTCCTGAGGGGTAGGACACTGGCTCTTAACCTATGACCACCAAGCTTGACCTAGGAACTTGTAGGGAATGTAAAACTGGAGCCCCACACCAGGCATATGAAGCAGAAACGCTAGGTGTAGGAGCCAGGTGTTTTCTCCAGCCCCCCAGGTGATTCTGAAATGCTAGAGTTTAAGAAACCCCGGGCTCCGGTTATGCGGCACTGCAGACAGTGAAGACCGAGGCTACCAGGCGGCTCCTGGTATGCTGCTCGGCCTTCCAAGCTCTTGTCCTGACTTACTAAGGCCTCCCTTCCTTAGTGTTTCAGGCCAAGGTAAGCCTTTCAAGGGGACATCAGGATTCAAGAGGAGGTCCTGAGTTGGGAAAGCGGTGGGTTCTAGGTCGTAGAGATGGAAATCTCAGGGGTCAACACAAATGATTCACGAGGGTGGCCCTGCCACATAGCCTCAGTAAGCTGGCCTCCCTGACTCCTCACATCCTGGGGTAGGCTGTGGTGTGGATGGGGGTCATTTGCTGCTATGCAGCTGTGTATTTCATAGAACCTATGTGTGGCAGCAAGAAGGCCCTTCTGTTTAAAGTAAATCATTGTCCCTCCCAGCAGTTAAGATACACAGGGACTGGAGAATTGCTGTGATGTGTCTATGCAACAGGCAGTGAGTCAGTAATTACTGACTATCTGTTATATAACCAGCCCTAGGGAACAAAGGGTCTGCCTCAGGTTGTAGTCTAGTGGAGGTGGTAGATGATAGATGGAGAAAGGGATGCATGAATGGATAGATAAATAGACGGACACATATACATATACATGCATAGAAAAGTAAATTTCATAAGGTGATAAAAATCTGTGAAAAAATTAGTACTATATTAGAAAATGACTTGGGGATGTGGAGACCACTGCAGTAATAGGGTAGTCAAGGAAGGTCTTCCTACGGAGAAATTTGAGCAGAGAATTTGAGGATGAGAAGGAGCCAAACACATAAAAATCTGGGAGAAGAAAATGCCCAACAGAGGGAAGAAATGCAATGTCCTGAGCATAGAATGGACTCATTATGCTGTAGAGCAGAGCACTAATGTGACAGGATGGGGTGGGGAGAATATGGCGAAACGTGAAATGAAGCCATGGTAAAGAATTTGCATCTTTATTTGTAGTGAAGTTATCAGAAGATTTAAGTATTCAGTTATCATAATTTGCTTTAGTTTTTATTGTTGTTTATATATCTCTTGAGTCTCTCTTTAAAAAAAAATTGTGGTGGTATGATAAAATCAACACCTTGCAAGGCTACATACAGCATGATGAGTTTTTACTTACCCATACAACTGTGTAATCATGGTCCAGATCATGGCTTAAATTTTTTAAAGATCCTTCTGTGTGCTGCTTAGAGGTGGATTGAGATGGTGGGCAGCAATGGCAGACGTTAGAAGGCCACTGCCATGATCTGGTTGATGTGATGGGGCTTAGAATAGAGTGGCAGCAGTGGAGGTGGTGAGAAATGGTTGGATCAGGTTGTATTTAGAAACAGAGGGGATGGGACATGTTGATTACAGAGGATGTGGATGTGAAAGATGAATGAACGACTCCTCCCAAGTTAGTGGTCTGAGCAACTCAGTATGGTGGTGCTGCTTTCTGAGATGGAGGAGGATTTCGGAGATTAACAGTGTATTAGGAATCAGTAATTTTATAGCAAAACCCTAATGTGTTTCTTAGAATTGTAAGGCAACGCAAAGGATCAAACCTATTACTATATATACATATATGTCTCTGGAATATTTACAGCTGGATGGTCTAAGCTTAATTCAGTTGTACATTCATAACATGCAAGTATTCAAGTAGACACAGGTAAACAAAAGAAGCTATTCATGTCAACTAACAGACAAAGCACTTTTCAACTGTGCTGAAAATATAGACCAAAATCAGACCTAACCCCATTCTCTTTCACCTTTTAGATTCTGATGTCAGAGCCAGGGAAGTTGCTACAGAAAGTGAAGGTTTGGCTGCAGGAGTACTGGAATGTCACAGACCTCATAGCCATCCTTCTGTTCTCTGTGGGAATGATCCTTCGGCTCCAAGACCAGCCCTTCAGGAGTGATGGGAGGGTCATCTACTGTGTGAACATCATTTATTGGTACATCCGTCTATTAGACATCTTCGGCGTGAACAAGTATTTGGGCCCATATGTAATGATGATTGGAAAAATGGTAAGCAGGGCCCTCTGATTCCATGCTATAAATCCACAGAGGAAGAGTGGTAATAAGAGGAAGAGGGAAATAATTCTTTTTGGGCTGCTATCAAGGACTGAGATGACCCTGGGAGTGTTTTATTTTTATTTTTTTAATTCCTTTTGAGGGTTTGGGAGTTTGACCTCATCTAAATACATAACTGGAGAATTAAACATCACTCACCTATTTGCTTACTGAGAAATATATAAAGATAATCTCTTTTGTGCCAAGCACTGAATTAGGAGTTGGGTATATAAAGGTGCTCATTCCATGAGATTGAAGATGAGAGAAAGAAGTAATTATCATACAACATGAGAATGCTGTAAGAGCAATGTGTATAAAGTACAATAGAAGCAGAGAAAAGACAATGCAGGTCAGGGAAGCTTCACATGGAGGTTATATTTTAACAGGATCTTGGTGGAGGAGTGGATCTCCACTACAAATTTTTCTCCACTACAGGTTTTTAAGATTTTCAACTTTTTTTTAATAAAGTGCTAGAAAAAAATACATTTCCCAACACAAAGGGAAGAAAAACATAATTAACCGAGTTAAGCTGAGTTTGAATTAAAGATTAAATTCTACCAATATATCATGTATTCTGTCACACTTCTGGAAAATGATGACTTAAAAACTAAGTTTCAGAATGATGCCCCTACTTATCTTATACTTTGAAAGAGAATCCCATGGAAAACTCATATGCTTCCCATAAAAGTCTGTGGACTTGTTCCAACACCCCTTGACCACACTAGTTTCCATTCCTTCTCTATAAACACCAAGTCCGAGAAGAACCTGGTCATGAACAAGTAAATCAGATCCCTCTCCAAACTCACTAGAGGAAGAATTAGAGACTGATGCGCAGAAACTAGGTGTTGTTTTTTTTATGTATATCAGTTCTCCCACTTTTCTATGTCCTTACTTTACCTTTACAGAACATATGTGGGAAAGCCAAGTACATCTATCCTCCCATAGCAAGCACTTCTTTCTAAAATATCTCAATGCTGATAGCCTCCATTCTACTTCCACTTATGAGTCATTGAAGCCAACAAGTGGTCAATAGATGTCCCTTATCATTCTTACTCAAGTTTTACTATATACATCATTGATGGTGACCTTTCAGTCAGTAAATTAATATTTATCACTATTATTATTGTATTTGTGTGAAAGTAACTCCACTGAAACCAATCTTAAATAATCAAGACTCTTCCTACAAAAGCACTGACAAACTCATGCAAAGAGAAGGAGAATTTGAATCCAAAGAAAGGGGTTATGAGACTTTGAGCAATTTATTTAACCTCTTTGAGACTCAGTTTATTCCCATTTCTAAAGTAGTTATAATAAATGCATATCTTGTGAGGATGTTCTTATGATTAGAAATGACATGTGTTAAATAGTCAATAGGGTTTGGTACATAGTAGGTCATTGATAAATTATATCTGTTATCCTATGTTTGATTAGGTTTGCTGAAGTACGGTGAAAAGGGGGGAAGTTGGTGAGCATAGTTATTCTCTTCTATTCCTAATCCTTTTATACAAAAGTTTGGTATTTATAACACCAGCATTCTCTAGGGAAAATATCACAAATTTCATTGTGGAATTCAGCAAGCTGCAGTTACTTACCCAAAACTGAATCCCAGCTCAATTGGAGATCCTTGACTAGGAAAATAATGTGCATCTTACTCTGTTTCACTGCCTGTTACATAATCTTTGTACTTGAGTGATGAATTTGAGATTGTGCAGAAATTTTCTATGTCTAAATTAGGCAGAGTCTCAACTTAGATTTTGGAGAGAGGATCTGTGGCCCCTCCACCTAATTAATACAAAAATGCCTATACATTTTCTGGACAAGAGAGGACAAGCTTCTGTGAGATTCTCAAAAGTACCCTCAAATGGACACAGTGAAAAACTTTAACAGCTACAGAATTAGGCCAAGTTTCCTCAGCCCTGATGCTGCTGATACTTTTGGCTAGATATTTCTTTGTCGTGGGAGACTGTCTTGTTCACCACAGATGTTTTGCAGCTTTGCTGGCCTCTACCCACTGGATGCCAATAGTGTGTACACACATGCATGCACACACACACACACAGTTATGACAACAGAAACATCTCCAGACATTGCCATATGTCCCCTGCGGGGAAAATTACCCTCTGTTGAGAACCACTACATTAGGCAATTACATAATCTGATTGTTTTTTTCTAATTAATTGTTACCTTATTTTGTTTCAATAATTAAAATCTGGAAAGATCCAAAGCAACTCTATCACTTTAAAAAGATTGGGTGGCATTGGAATACTTGAAATAACTAAAGTCACACTAAAGCAGAAAGATTATTTTAAAATCCATGTCTATCATTTTAATAATGGCATAATTATCCATCCCCCGTTTTGACTAGAATGAAACCTTACTATGGAGTGAGCAAGAGAGATGTACGGCATCTTCTCTACCTTGTAACTTATGAATGACTTTACCTGTCTGTCAAGAATAAGTAGAAAATGAGTATAGTTGGGGGCTTTATTCTCTTCCATGGGGATTTTAAGATAATTAGTTCAATAACTGAGTCACTGATTCAGAAGATAGGTAAAATACGCCTATAGAATTTATCAGTAAGCCAGATGGACTGCCAGGCTGGAAGCTATAAAAAAGTATGCCCAGATGTGATTATACTGAAAGTCCCTTAATGTTAGAGAGTCCCAATTCAGGGCTAAATAGCCAAGTAATTCACTATGCCTTGTATTCTAGAGATAGACAACTGCTGAGATACCTAGACACAATTTTGATCATATATGATTCTGATCAATCTCTAGATCCAGGAATCCTGACCCCTTACCTTCATATTCCACATCCTAATGAAATCTTCTAGGCCTAAACTAAGCTCACTTACATAATACAGAATAAAGCAGCAATAATAATAGCTATCATTTACTATGACATGTCAGCCATGTCATCATCACTACAACCCCATGAAATAGGTTTTAGTGTCTTCCATTTTGCAACTGAGTGAACTGAAAGTGAGCAAGTGGCAAAGGCAGGACTCTAACTCCTGTCTGTCTAACTCCACAGCCTGAACTCCTTCCAACAGTAATAGTGGTACATTAACATTTACTGAGAACTGTGCACTTAAGTGGTCCACATATTATCTCATTTATTCCTTACAAAAATAATATGCAGTATTGTTGTTAATATTATCCCCCTTTTGAAAATGAAAAAAGCAAGACTAAGCAACTTGCCCAAGACTCCGTAGCTACTTGTACTAGCAGAGCCCAAGATGGAAACACAGGCAGACTGACACCTGAGAAGACGTGCTTCACCTTGACAGTATATACCTGTGTGCTCTCCTCTGTAGAACACAGTCAAAGGACATGTTCAGGAATGAGATAGAATCAGCTCGCTTAACCTTGAGTCAACCAGACTATTTAGCTTTAAAAATGGAGGTAGCCAGCCCCAGTTCTCACTAATTTCTATTTCTGCATTCCACTTTGACAAATTTCAGTATTTGAATGGAAGCCAAGACTTCTTTGAAATATATGACACCGAGTGTTTGGGAAGAGTGTTTCTTCTCTCTGATTGTTTTGGCCCTTTGGATAGATGTCACAATCAATCTGAATGAAAACAATTCTGAGAAATGAAATTAGAACAGTTGCTGTATTTACTAGCTGAGTTTTCTTGGATCAAACTATCTCCTAAATTTCTCTGAATACACACCTTCCTCTCCCCACCCATCTTTTAATCAATCTAAATAAACATAACATGGAGGACCCATTAGAACATTTTGTAAATAAATAATGAAAGAATTTTACACAATAAAAAGTGGATGAGAAACCTATGTTTCCTATAAAACTGTTTCAACACGGCTGGCTTGCTCACTCTTAAGAGAGTTCTGAGGTCAGTAAATTGTGAAAGAAATAATTAGCACATATTTTTTTTAATTGAGGCATCATTGATATACAATCTTTTGAAGGTTTCACGTGAGCAGATTGTGGTTTCAATATTCAACCATATTATCAAGCCCCGCCCACTACCGCACTGCAGTCTCTATCAGCGTACTAAGGTGTTATAGAGTCATTGTCCTCTCCGTGCTGTACTTAACTAGCATATATTTTTAAGGACAGTGAGCAAATATGAATGAATGTCAAATTTTGAGAGATTCTTATTTTGTTTCAAAGTCAGACAATACTTGAGAGAGGGATTTTGAAGTTGCCTTGAAAATTGAATAATTGAACTAAAATATACTGAGCCCTCAGTGTCCTAAGGAAAACAGGAAGGCTGTAATACTTTAAATAATAGGCACCATGGAATGTGGTCTTCTAAAATGAAAATGTTTAATTAATTTAAATACTTCATTATCATTGATAAACTTATCATTAGTCTGTCTTTGTGAATGGGCATTCCTTCAGGAAATTTGGTATCCAAAAAAAAAGTAGTGTCTTGTATTAGATGGTTTGATGCAAGGGTTAGAAACCAATCTACAACTAACTTAAGCCCAGGAGCAATATATCAACTTATAGCAGGGCATGGTGGAACTGTCCTTAAGGCCACTGTCAGGACATGTGCGTGTCCCACACCCACACTGCCTGCTCTTGTCTGCTCCATTCACTCTAGTCAGTTTCACTAGTGGAGGATTCAGCCTCAGACTCTGCATTCACACAGAGAAAGAAAGGGAGCTGCTCTCTCCCAGCTTCTGTTGAAAAAATCCAAAGGCAGGATTCCGGTTGGCCTGTCTTATGTCACATGCCTACGTCTGTCACTGTTGCCAGAAAGTGAAGTACCATGATTAACCTAGCCTGGAAAAGACACCTATCTTTGTGGCCAAAATGGATGGGAACTGTTTCTAAAAAAAGAGGCAATGATTTCTGGCCAGACAAAATAATAGTTTTTATATCCTCATCTATTTTCAGTGATAAAGGGAAAGTAATTCAGTATGTGAGAAACAAATCCCAGATAGCATGTATCATGAAAACAAGCAAAAAAGAAGGAATAAAGAGGAACAAGAGAACATTGTACTTAAATGCGATCAAGAGAATTTTATAAACGTGTCATGTTGAAAATCCAACATGAAATGAAAACAGCAGGTACAGGAATGAGCCATAAGCCTATCTGATTCTAATACCTAGGAAAACACCCTCTACAACTGTTAGAATATACTGCAGGGGAGGTACAGAAAGAGTGGTCCTCTTAGACTGGTTTGTGGCAGAATACCATGCAGAATAAGATGGAATATGATGGGTACATTGGAGTGTCTTAGCTTTGTTTACATATGATTGTTTTCTTGAGCTTTTCAACTCTTCATTAGCCTTCCAGAACTTAGGAAAATTATAACATTGCAATGGTTCTTGAAATTGTTCAACTATCCCAATTTCAATGTTGCTAAGAAGAAAGAGACCTAAGGAGGGTATTTGCCTTCCCTTAAGAGCAGAGCAAAAATTAGTACTGGATTCATATAGAGAGACCAGGCTGCTTTGTTACATGACTCCCATGCCCAGTCTTGACTTGGTACCACAGACTGCAGTGGAAAATGATGGGGCTCCATGACATGTGTGCCTTTCTTTTCTTTTCTTCTTCTTTTTTTTTTTTTTTGATTTTTGAGTTACTGAGAAGATTCTTTGGATACTGGCTTCAACAGACCAAGTATTCTCTTACCTGAACACGGTTCTCTATGTAAACATCATTTACCAGCAGTCTTAAAAATGAACCTCCTTCAAAGGTTTCTATCAATGTCAGTGTCATAAGAACACTCAATCATATGGATTTTCCTTTATTTCTCCCTCTGCTTCCCCACCTTTCCAGATGATAGACATGATGTACTTTGTCATCATTATGCTGGTGGTGCTGATGAGTTTTGGAGTCGCCAGGCAAGCCATTCTCTTTCCCAATGAGGAGCCATCATGGAAACTGGCCAAGAACATCTTTTACATGCCCTACTGGATGATTTATGGGGAAGTGTTTGCAGACCAGATAGACCGTAAGCAAGTTTATGATTCTCATACACCAAAGTCAGGTATTTAACTTCAATTGGGTCATGTCTTTTCCAAGTTCATTTGTTTGTTCTCAATAAATGGCTCAAGATAGAGGACTGATTCCTAGCTTACTATCTTGGAAGAAAAAAAAAAGAAACAATTACAGAAGGTGAATATACAATTTTACAATTTTAGCAAAGTAGTCCTCAGGTGTTTCCACAGGTATGTCCTTTCTGTGACACAAATAGACATCTGGTGTGCCAAATTTTATAAAGAAAAAAATCATTAAAAATTTCTCAGTTCTTCAGGGATTTGAAATCCTAGGGCCTGTGTTGAATATTTTAATGTTAGTAATGTATCACTACTCCCTACCTCTCCCTTAGCCCCCAGCCTGTAAAAAAATTAATTTCCTGAGTTTGACTTCAGAACAAATAAACGATTCTCGGTTTCACCATCAGAATTCAAGAGTGAGGGCAAACATCTGCATGGTGTTTCCCTTGCACTGGAAACTATTCTCAGTTCTTTATCCCACTGTCTTGAATTATGTGCTATTGAGAGTCAAAAGAAGCTAGTGTTCATTGCCTGGAAGTATGGAAAATGCCTTAGGTTATAAACTGAGTTGCTTGCTGTAAATGCCAGAGAAAAAAGAGTATCTATATCATGAAGTGATTCAGTGTGAGCAGCGAGCACCAACAGGCCCCGATGTTTCATGCCCTAGTAAATGCTTATTCTCTATAATAAACACCCCCTTTGTATAGGCTTTGAAGATAGTTGTATCCTAGGAGTCTGTTCCAGCATTTTATTTGGACCAAATGTCAGGGCACACAGGCATTGGAACATTATTTGGGAAGAAAGCATCAGGAAAGAGATATCTTTCCATATGGAGACATTTGAATCCCAGGAGCAACTATTTCTCATTTTCCCTGAGGAGTTTAGCTCAGAAATAACATCCTTCCAACACTGTTGAATTAACATTTTTCAAACATTTTTTGCTGACAGGCCAGTCATCTGAGTCCTGGACTGTGAACATGGATTAGGGTTACATAACAAGCTGATACAGTTTATTAAGAGCAGAAGCCAAGACTAGTCAGCTTCCCCCTCACACCTACCAACCCCAGGTAGGACCGAGACCCAAAAAATAAGATCAAGGCAGCGAAGAGCGTGCGTCCCCCCCGGCCTGCAGAGAGCCTGTGTACACTGGCACTAGGACACGGCAGTACCTCATTTTCCCTTCGGTGGTAGATTTTGAGTAAATACCTTTCCTTCTCAAAACAAGTTATCTGAGGCAAGAAGGCTCTTTGGAACACCTAATTGGAACAAGTATTCGTTTCAGGAGGCTTAGCCAAACTCAGTGAGGAAGAATTTCAACTCCGTCTCCCAGTGTAAGGAGTTTGGTTGACAGGGTGCAGCCTTCACCAAGACGGCTTTCCAGGGACTGGGAAAAACTCTTCTGGGATCTTCCTTGCAGATGGTCTCTAAAGGCAAAACAACACTTAGAAAGCCCGCCTATAATCAATTCTCCTCAGAGATTAAATGTACTCCTTTCCCTGAGAAATGGCTTTCCACTTACATTAGTTTACCTTTTCTAGTTTCCTTTCTTCTCCCAAATGAGATTCAGCCCCTGTGGGTGTTTCGTCAATGCAACATTTTGGGAACAGTGGAGGGAGATATAGGTGTGTTTTATAAATGGGATTCTGTCTGTCCCTCTACAAGTGGCCATTTATTGATGTTGTACTATGAGCCCAGCCTAGTGCAACAAACACCACCATCTGGCTGAATAAGAGGATTTATTATTGTTATTTTAAAAGAAGGGCTGATTGTAGTTTAGAACTTGAACCCCTCCCCCTGAACCCAAAGATGGAAGAGAGGTGTTTTGTGTGAATGATGTGTGAAAATAGATTTCCCACATTGTTAACTAGATCTGTGGTACTGTACCTGTGTGAGAATAAATTTCTACCCTGAATCCCATATATAACTGACCCAGTCTTGAGTGGATGCACCAGTCATGACCCCCTTCCCCTACTTCCCTTCCCTTTTGACTTTCTGAAATTGGCTGCAGTAGTAGCCATGTTCTAAGCTAAATCAGCCAGTTTTCTGTCTAGAGTGCCAGAGTATTTGTCCTTTCTCAAATGGGTATAAAAGGCTACCCCCAAATTTGTCATTCCACCTGGCTAAGATGATTGAACATCCCTGTCCTTTAACGGATTTGATTTTCATGGTATGGCAGTAGGTGGGCCCAAGGGGCATTGAGTTACTGGCCCACCTGGCCATTCACAGCTGCCCAGTAGGCCCTGGAACCAAGCTGTTTGAGAAAGGCACAGATCGTTTCTGCTGTCCTACAATGCCTCGCCTCTTTCTTGTGCTGTGTCCAGGTTTGTGAAGCATGTGCTCAGGCTGAGCGGATCTCATAGCCACCTGGACCCACGGCCCTGCCCAGGGTCTACCAATCCCATCCTGTGGCTGTGCCCTGTGTGGGCCTCTCCAAGTGCTGCTCATCCACACACACCTTCCCAGAGAGAGACTCATTCCTAATGTAATGCACGTGCTCCGTATCTAACTTATTTTGTTTTTAACTGCAAAACTGCTGAACTCATTTCATGTTTGGGGAAATGACCTTTTCTTAAGCGGGATGAATGCACATGAATGTATGATAGGGCCTGGGGGTAGCAATTAATTAACATCTGTCTGACACCTCAGAAGGGAGGACAGCTTTAATGCCCTCCTTTCTGGGAGGCAATGTTACCAAATTATAAATTTTTTATATACATGCCATTTTTTTTGATGGTTTGTCCTAAACCTGGATACTATCAATAAGGCCAAAAAAGCTAGAATGAGACTTGTGAGGTTACTTTCCAAATGTACTTACAGACTAAAAGCCAAGAGAGAGAGAGAAAAAAAAGAATGGGAGTAACTGTCAAATCACAAAATAATTTAGGTCCTTTTCATCTCTAAACCAGGTAGGATTGACACAAATGATAGACCCACCTTAAACTCAGTTATCTGTAGCGGCTAACTATGTGCTGCAGTGTCAGGAGCAAAAGTGAGTGCAAGAATGTGACTGGCAGCAGCAGATGATGCAACTGAGGAAGGGACGGTGATGGTCTGCTCTGCCTGGACACTTTACCTGACCCCTGGTGAACTGGTGGGAATTGAACTTGCTGCTGTCGTTTGGTGTTTTTTTTTGTTTCTGTTTTTTCAGATAGCCCCCAATTGTCTCAGGTGTTTCTGTTATGTATAATACCAGCTCCCTAAGACCCAACCTGTGGACTACCATGAGGTGACTTGGGCTCCGAGTTGCTAAATGCTTTGCTACCAAGTGGTGGCATCCTTCTGGGTGTCTCATCAAGGTGGCCCATGCTGCATGGCTTCTGAGAACAGGCCAGGGTTCCACCAGAGCCTAAGGGGAAAGCAGCCACTTGGAGTAAAGGAGCAACAGCAGAAACGGTCAGCACATTCATTCCAAGGCAAGGCCAGAGCTGAAATTAGATGGACTCTCACCAGCTGAGAAATCTGGCTCTCTATTTTGGTGTGTGAGGTACCTGGAAGTACCCCTTTGTTGGCAGAGAAAATGGGGTGTCTCAGGCTGCCTCAAGCCTCTGAATGAATGAGACTTCCCTTTATTTACACAGCATTCTTGTGTTGCCTGCTGTACACAGATTCCCCGGGCTGTACCAGGGCAGGAGGAAAATGAATCATGCTCTTGAATATATTAAATCAGGATCTAAATTTAGTCATTCTTTCTGTCTCTCTGAGTATTTTTACAAGTTTGGGCAGTATGTGGAGGCAGAATATCCAAAATCTACTTTCTACCAGCACAACTTAATATTATTTGGCCATTTCACTTTTCCTAAATCAACTACCCAATCTATTTTAATGCATGGGTAAAAATGTTTTTCCTCTCGCTGTCTCAGGCTTTTCCCTCTGAAATTAATAGGGAATATGGAGTAAAAGCATTTTTGTTGTCTGTTTTGGTTTGTTTTGGCTAGTTTATTATTTACTTAATTTAGTACAAAAGTCTTGCTATAAAAAAACCCTTGATTTTTTGTACCCTTATTGTCTGCCGTGTCGACGGGACTTACACTGTCGGTTTTGTCAGGAAACAGAGAGCATGTATGTGCATATAAAGCTAAAATGCCTTAAATTGTTTCTTCCTAACTTCAGGTGTGGAAATTAGGATAGCTGAAGGCTGGTCTCTAAAATTTGTCTGCTTGTGGCATTTCTTATAACAGTGTGAAGGGAGAAGACGGCTATTGTTGTGCATTTTAGTCATTAGACTCCAGTTCTGGAAGCGCAGGGCTCTGTATCTGCTTGGTATTCAGGAGTGACCTTCTCTGATGGATTCAGAGCACACTAATGCCTAACAGCTCTAGCGTGGGGAGTGTTGCCTGACCAAAGAAAGTATTTTGGAAAAGAAACTTGAGCCAGCGCCAACTTTTGGGAAAGAGGGAATTGTTTTGCTGGGTTTTGATTTTGCAAATAGCTGTGGAAGCCAGCCAATGCGAGGCAGCACCCCTTTTTCCGGCCCCTGAAAGTCAGCTTCCATTCTAGCTTGTTTACTGTTGCAAACTGAGGCTTAACAGGTTTACAAATAGCAGTTGTCTGCAGACAGGCCTTTGAGATGATTCAGTACACTGTTGTGAACATTTGTTCCACTGTCTTACTATTCATTCAGCCTTTGCTCACAGGTTGGGCCCCGTTTTTAATGTGCTCATACTTCATTCGGTGGATGTTTATTTTGTCCCCACTATGAGCTAGGTAGACACTGAGGGACAGAGATGCATGTGACAGATCACCTCATGGGAATTTACAGCCCAAGAGAGGCAAGCTGATGTTGACAAAATATATGTGATGTTGGAGCCCAAAAAGAAAGTAGTCATTTCTTCCTGAGGTGAGGGTAGTGGGGCCATAGATGAAGCCTGGCAAAGAATGGGAAGGTAAGGTTGGACTGAGCCCTAAAATATGAGCAGATATTTACTAGGCAGAATGTAAAGGAGAAGATGGTATT